CGTTCAGCAGGCTTGGAAGTTTGAATTTCTCGGGTTGACTTGTACTTCCTATGACCCTGAACCCTAAACCCCAAGCCCTAAAACCCTGAACCTTTTAGGTGCAGGAGGTAGAAGCGCTTCAACCCTGCGCCAGCGCTTCCGTGAATGGCTATTTCTAGGAAACTGTGATTGACCCCTCCCCGACCAATCCCGCGCCCCAAATCCCAAACGCCCCCAAAGGCTCTAAACCTCTAAGAACCCGTAAACCCTCAACCCTAAACCCTAAACCCTAAACCCCACAGCCTAGCCTCCCTCCGAAGCTACACCATGAGGTATACGCCTCATGCCTTGGAGTGCTGCTGACAATGTTTGCGGCTCAGACGCTTCGGATGGTTTGGGGTTTAGGGTATCGGGTCTGGGGTTTAGGGTTTAGGGTTTCGGGTTTCGGGTGTCGGTCTTTAGGAGTTTATGGTTTGGGAGGTTAGGGTGTAAGGGCTTGGGGATTGTGAGTCGGGCTAGGAGTTTATGGTTGATGGCGTGGGTTTAGGTAGGGGTCGAGGTTGCAGGGTTTGGGAGTTCAGGGTGTAGGCTTTAAATAGGAGTGTACAGTGCGTGGCGGAGATTTGGAGGTTGAGGAGTTTAGGGTGATATGCTTTGGGGGCCACCTAACCAAAGCTTGATGAGATTATACAACAACTACAAAGTTCAGGTATGGGTTTAGGCTTTTGTGGGTGTACGGACTTGGGGTGTCGGTGTCCATGGCTTAGGGTCTAGGGATTCCAGTTGCCCTGACCTGCTGGTTTAGGGATTTCGGGTTCGAGGACGACGGAGTCCTTTGTACAGGTATATTTGGGGTTACAAAGTACCCTGAACCTCCAAGCGTGCCCTCATAAAGATTCTTAGGTTGGTCTTGTGCCGTCCCGAAACCCTAAACCCCTAACCCTAACCCCCGAAATTGTGGGCCGTTTGAGGTGCCCTGAGCTTGGGGCTCCGCAGTATAGCAGGAGCCCGTATGGCACTGCCCAGATACTGCGGTAAAGGCTTTCTTCAGCCCTAAAGCCCTCAAACCCTAAACCCTGAAGCCCTAAACCCTAAGTCCTAGACCCTAAACCCCTAAAGCCCTAAAACCCTAAACCCTGAAGCCCTAAACTTGCCCTAAACCCTAAGTCCGAGACCCTAAAACCCTAAGGCCCTAAGTCCTAAACCCTAAAGCCCTAAAGCCCGAAACCCTCAGTCGACGAATCCAGCTGCAAGGTTCGGCGAGGAGCACGAGTTTTACCAGGCGTGCTTCGAGTGATTTACGGGTCCTCTTCAGCTTAGGGGGTTTAGGGTTTAGGGTTTGGGGTTTAGGGTTTAGCGTTTAGGGGTTAGGGGTTAGGGTTTAGAGAGGAGTCTTGGAGTCTTGTGGTTGAGGGCTTTTAAAGGTCGCCTCCCGCCCGAGAACCCAACAACAACTCCTACAACGGCCCTAGATGCCCTTGGAGCCGCCTAACCACCTGACCACCCCCATGCCTGAAGCCGAACCCCATCCTAAACCCTACCTCCTAGACCCTGTGTACCTCAAGTCGTGAACCCCAACCGAATCCAAAGTACAACAAACCAACCTCCCAATTTCCAGGGATTCCTCCGCACATTTCGTTCGGAGGGTGATTCCTACTTTTTGCTTAAGAAACACCCCAAAATGCATAAGTATTCTTCCTTATAAGGGCAATACAGCATTTGTTATCTTTCGTTTTGGGGGGGCTTCTTAAGCAAAGAGTAGATTCAGGGCGCCTTTCCGTCGAAGGCTGTTCGCAAGAAGTCCGACGAGCTGCAAGCCGAGCTCAAGAGGCGCGCGGCCTTCGATTCTTAGGTTTAGGGTTTAGGGTTTAGGGATTAGGGTTTAGGGTTTAGGGTTTAGGCTTAGGGCTTAGGCTGCAAGCACCAGAGCCCGTGTACCTACTTGGAGGTTCATGGGCACTTATAACCCCAATGAGAAGTCTACTTTGTGATGTTCCCCCTTATGCTAACAGTCCTTAGTAGGGAGTATAGTGCCCCAATTGTAATCCTATAAGGGGGAACATCCCGAAGTCTACCTACAACCTACTTAGAGGACTGAAGGGGCTTATGTGTACTGTTAGACTTGGGGTTCTAAGTGCCCTATGAGCCTCCAAGTAGGGAACCTCGTGTGCATTTGTGTGCTCGTCAGTCCGGCCCGTGCCCTTTCCCTCTGGACGGTTAGGTTAGGGATCAGGGCTCTAAACCCTAAACCCTATACGTCCTGTATGCCCTATACCCTATATACCCTAAATAACCTATATACCTCATATACCCTATATACCCTTCATGAAGTGCCTATCCTCCTGATCACGTGCTCAAGCGAGAAGCAAGCCACTCTGGGAAGTTTCAATAGGCTTTTCACCCAAGACCCTGAACTCAGGGGGATGCCCTGAGCCCCAAACCCTAAGGCCAAGGCCTAAACCCTATAAACCCTAAACCCCAAACCCCAGACCCTAAACCCTAAACCCTTCCTTTCGGGTCCTAAACCCTATACGTAGTAGCTGAGTGAGCACACTTTACACTTTTTGGGGCTTATGAACTCAGCAACTAAGTGTAAACCCTTAACCCACACAAGCCCAAAGCCGCGGCCCTTATGGCCATGTGCTGCGAGCATCGCCTTCAGTGGCGTAACGGGCAGTGGGAGCTGGAGGTCTGGGTTTAGGGTTTAGGGTTCAGGGTTCAGGGTTCAGGGTTGAGGCTTTAGGGTTTAGGGTTTAGGATCTAGGGTGTGAGGTTCAGGGTTCGGGGTTTCGGGCTTAGGGTTTCTGGGTTTGATGTTCGGGCTTGTCCGCGAAGTGCCGTGAAGCTAAGATTGGGCATGGTTGCCCAGGGTGGGGTTGCCCGACTTGGGAAGGCGGCAACTAATCCGAACCCTCAGACTTCAACCCTAGGGGCTCTCCAAGCCCCAATGCCCCAAACCCCGAAACCCCGGGAGCCCCAAAGCTTCAGAGCCCTCCAGCTCCAGAGCCCCCGAGGGTTTAGGGTTTTAGGGTTTTAGGGTTTTAGGGTTTTAGGGTTTTAGGGGTTTTAGGGTTTTAGGGTTTTAGGGTTTTGGGGTTTTAGGGTTTTGGGGTTTTAGGGCTTTAGGGTTTTAGGGTTTTAGGGTTTAGGGTTTTAGAGTTAAACATCGTTACCAGGGCCGATCAAGGTCCCTGGCCTCTAGAAAGACACACATGAGCCGCCACCTACACCAAACCCTTGAGTTCCTTCAGTGGGGGTCGTTCTCCAGTAGGGCTATACACCCCAAAGCCCTAAGCTCTACTTTGGGAGAGCCCTGGCCCTTCAAGCTTCGGACTTTAGCTTTAGCTCGGGTTCAGGGTTTTGGGATTGATGGGCATGGCTGCTGAGGTCTAATGGGGCTGGGCGTGCTGAGGCTTACCCAGGTTGCTATTGGGATTCATGGGGTGCTCAGTGCTCACTCTTGGCGCCAAGACTCGTGGTAGGGTCCGAGAGCTTGTGTTTCCAAGAGGTGCCAGTCGCATCGAACCACGTGAAAGCATTGAGCGCCGCCCTCAGCTTCAGTTCAAGGCTTGCTTCTGCTGTAAACCCTAAGCCCTAAACCCTGAACCCTGAACCCTGAACCCTAGACCCCAAACCCTAAACCCTAAACCCTAAACCATAAACCCTAAACCCTTAACCCTTAACCCTTAACCCTTAACCCTTAACCCTAAACCCTAAACCCTAAACCCTAAACCCTTTCCGGGGGGTCCTGCAAAGCTCAGTTTCTACGCAAACTGAGTCTCTGAAGTTTCCTTACAGGGCCTGTGCTGCCTCAGGCTTCAGGTTGGTTTCTTGATTTTTTTTTTGGGGGGGTCCTTTCTCATCAAAACCCCTATATAGAAACACATACATACACATATACATATACATATATAGGCTCATCCCGTTTCAAGTTATGTAAACTGCCGGGGCCGTTTTTGAAGAGGGACAACATCAGCTCCGAGCGTGCAAGAAAGATCACATTCAAGAGGATGGAATGTTCAAGGCTTTCCCTCAGGGGGCCCTTTACAAAGGCCAATCAACCCTACACCCAAAAACCCTGAACCCTACACCCTAAACCCTACATCCCCTTACATGAGCCCATGAGGCGTGGACGCTTCGCCGGGGGAAGTTCGCGTCACGTCCGAGGGCCTCGAGCTCACCATCCCGGTGCCTGAGCACGCCCCTCGGCAGGGAAAGCTCGGGGTCCTCGAAGGATGCCCAGGAATTGCCGGCAGCCCCTTGGTTTTTTCGGTTGCCTTCTACCCCCTATTGAAAAAAAACAACCCTAAACCCTAAACCCTAAACCCTAAATCCTAAACCCTAAACCCTAAACCCTAAACCTTTTTTTTTGGTTTCTTTTTGGTTGGCTGCCCTTGAGGGGCTGTAACACACATGCCACGTGGCACTGAGCGGCTTTTGCAGCCTTGTGAACCGCTGCCCCAGGGAGCCCTACATGGGGCCGCCTGTCGCAAGTCTTTATGCATATTATATATATATATACACACATATATATGTATGTACATTATTTACATATATATATATATATACAGATAGATGTGTTTGTTTCTATGTTGTTTTTTTTGGGGGGGGGGGGGGGGGGGGGGGGGGGTCGAGGGTCAGAAGCCCTCTTGCAGAAGTTGCCCACAGCTGCAGGCGGCTGTCGACATCGAGCGCTGCGTTACCAAGCTACGCCACGGGAGGCGGGCGTTGCAGGCTCAGGAGCCACACGGGCTGAGGCTTAGGGTTTAGAGGTTTTCTTGCAGGAAGGAACCTGGCACAAGGTGTGCGAGCTCTTGCTTGCGATGTAGGACTCTGGCTCCTCCTGTTTGAAGGTTCGAATGGGTAAGCCTGCTGCAGCCTCCAAACCCTACACCCGCAATCTAACTCAAACTGATGCAGGGAGCTCCCTTCAAAGGGGCCACGAAACCTGAGGAGTCTTCATGGTTTGATCAGGGTTGAGTTAACGGCCCACACACAGGCTGGTTCTGACCTGGCCAGTAATGGCCATGGGCTGCGAGCGAGCGCCTAGGATCCCAGAAGTTTAGGGTTTAGGGTTTAGGGTTTAGGGTTTAGGGGTTTTCCCTGTTCGTTGTTGGTACTACTAGCCTGTGGCTGTGCTTTCCTTCTGGGCCTCATCAAGCCAAAACACCTGGCTTTTCGGTTTCCCAGGACCCGGAGTAGGCCCTTACTTCCTTTTTTCTAGGGTTGGGGTTCCCTTAACATTCCTTTAAAACCGAAAAGGGTGCCCTTTTGTATTCCTAGGTTACTCCTGCGTCTGGTGTTTATGTTCCCCAGGTCCGCAGATGCCAGTTCTGGGGCGATGAGCACGAAAGCAAAAAGTATTCCACCAAGAGGGCAGGCCTGGGCTCAACAAGCTCTAAAAGACCTCTGCAAGAACTGGCAATCCCAGCAAACCACCTAACAAAAACCCCAAGAACCCTACAGGCCGAAAACGGTAAACCCTAAACCCTAAACCCTAAACCCTAAACCCTAAACCCTAAACCCTAAACCCTAAACCCTATGATCCCTAAACCCTAAGCCCGCAAGCCCTGAAAGCCCGGGTTGCTGGGGAAACCAAGGAGTGCCTTTTGGTACAGCTGAGTCAGCAGCCTCTGCTTTTCGTTTGCCAGGACTTCTTATCCAGGCGTCCCTTGGCCCTTCAAAGGCTTAGGGTTTTAGGGTTTGGGGTTTATGATTTGCGTCTGAAGAATGTATGAATTACAAGAGGGACAAAATTAGGGCTTGCAGGGCCTGACAGGGTTTCGGGTTCAAGTTTATGTTTAGGAAGATCATGACCAGAACATCGGAATTCGAAATGGTAAGCCGGGACTTTCGACCAGAGCCTGATTTTGGAAAATCCCACACCCTCGCCTTTTAACATGTCAGGCATTGCCACTGCAGCTGAGGCTCGTCTTCCGACATCATCCATGCTGCCAAGAGCTTTGGCAAGGCAGCCCCAGTGTTCGGTGAGGACGTCAAGCAGCTTGGGGTGGCAAGTAAGCCCGACTTCCTGAGCCCTGGCAAAGCCGTTTTTAATAATTTGCGGTCCCCTTTTGGGGCGGTCCTATAAAACACTAGCCCTAAACCCTAAACGCCGTTCCAGAATTTTGGGCTGTTTTTTGGCGGTCCTTCGTTTTCGGCGGTTGCGTATTTCGGGGTACATTAGGGGGGGGGGGGGGGCGGCAAGTACCCTGTTAAACCCAGAGTTGGTAAGCCGGCCATGAGGCCCTTCTCAGAGACCCCAAATACCCCTCGATGAAGGAATCTTACTCTATATTATAGGAGTTCTGATGACGAAGAAAGGTCTATTCCTAACTTTGTGATTGATTTCCGTAGACTGCAGGTACGAGATGCCATTGTGGCCCGAAGAACCTGCATTCCGCATTGGAATGGCGTTTGTCGGATCTATGTGGCCCGATATGCTTTTGTTCATGAGTTGGTTCCGGGGTTTAGGGTTTAGGGTTTAGGGTTTAGGGTTTAGGGTTTAGGGTTTAGGGCTTGGGGCTTGGGGCTTGGGGCTTAGGGCTTGGGCTTAGGGTTTAGGGTTTAGGGTGCAGAGCCACACTGCTAGTCAAGGAACAACAGGGACTGGACCAACACCTGCGCGAGGAGCTTGAGTTGGTGTACAGGACTGCAAAGGTCCATGTCATGGGGGGGGGGGGGGGGGACCCGTGACGTGGGCCCCACATTTGAGGGATCTGGGGTTTGGGGGCCCAGGCAGCGCCTTTCTCCAATTTTTTAAAGCTTTTGAGTCTTACTACCATCCTTCCTCTTCATTATTCCGTAAGGTTCAGGGTTAGGGCTTTGCACAGGCAGGAGGGCCGCCTGAGCCTGGGGGCTCCAGATTCTAAACCCTAAACCCTGCTTAAATTATATGCTGTTTTTGTTTGAACATTTTTATTTTCCTTATTTGGGTGTATCAAGGGACCCTATATATATATATATATGTATCTTCAGAGGGTTTAAAGGCCAACCCAGATTTGGTTGAAGGCTTTGCAAGCGGTCTTGAATACAACTCCACTCACCACAGGAAGTTCCAATCACGGCAGGCAACATGTCAGTCATTTGTTCCCATGCACTTCTGCAGCTTCAGACTCTGCACATCAAGTTGGGGTTAGCATTCTTAAGCTTGAGGACGCTATCCCAAACCCTAACACCCTACAACTCTAAAACCTATAACCCTAAAACTATGCAAACCCTAGACCCTACAACCCTAAAACGTATAACCCTAAAACCCCATAAAAAAAGGCCCTGAACCCTAAAGCCCTACAACCTACAAACCCCAAGCCCCGAGGAGGCTGGACCTGCTGTGCGGCACACCGCGGCGGAGAGACGAGCATCCTCCCCGCGTGCCACTTCAGAGAACCCTAAACCCTAAACCCTAAACCATTTGTATACGGGGGTTTCCGAAGTTGGCGGGTACTTTATCCTACTATTTGGGGGTCTGAATTGTAGGGGTCCCTTATTCAATTACTTCCGTAAACCTCCACATATGGGGGGGGGTTTGTGAGAGAATGACAGTGCCTGAACCTACATGATCCCTGAAAGGGTATATGTAGGGGGATATATTCCCTACTAGCAACCAGGAAGTGAAAAGCCCCCTGAAAAGCCCCCAGAAGCTCCTGAAGCCTCCTCAAGAACCCAAAAACTCCGAAACCCCCGAAGCCTCAGAATGGCCCCAGGAACTAGAAAGACCAAACCCTAAAACCCTAAACCCTAAACCCTAAACCCTAAACCCTAAACCCTAAACCCTAAACCCTAAACCCTAAACCCTAAACCCTAAACCCTAAACCCCACCCTAAACCCTAAACCCGAAACCCCACACCCTGAACCCCTGGTTCAGGTGCACTTCCAGGCGCCCCGCCGGGGTGCTCCGAGACCGCGGATGCCCTCAGGGCTGCACCTGGACACCAATGGCGCCCCTCGGTAGGGTTTACGGTTGAGGGTTGAGGGTTGAGGGTTTAGGGTTTAGGTTTTAGGGTTACTTTAGGGCTTAGGGCTTAGGGTTTCGGGTTTAGGGTTTAGGGTTCAGGGTTGAGGGTTTAGGGTTGAGGGTTCAGGGACACCAATGGCGCCCCTCGGCGTCCAGGGCCTGCCTCAGGAATCATCTTGTGAGTTAGGGTTTCGGGTTTCGGGCTTGTAGGGTTTAGGGTTTAGGGTTTAGGGTTTAGGGTTTAGGGTTTAGGGCCTAAAGGGTTTAGGGTCTAGGGCTGGGTTGGTTTTCGAAGGGTCCCAGTCTTGGGCTGAGGCCCCACACCGGTTTGTGACGGCGCTCGTCTACCTGGACACGCTTCCCCAACCCGAGGCCTGGCTCCTACGATTTGCTGAAGAACCCCAAAAAAGAAAAAACACAATAATGTTTCCTATATTGCCCTTATGAGGAAGATTGTTGTTTTCATCTTTTTGGGGTTCTTAATGGGGTTTTATGGGCGCTCGGGCATATTGCTGTTCAGGGTTCTTGAGGTTTGGGGATCAGGGATTTTGGGGTTTCGGGTTTGGGGCTTTAGTTTTTTTTTTTTTGGCGGGGGGGGGGGGGGGGGGGGTGGGGGCGGGGTGCGGGTTCAGGGATTGGGTTGGGTAGTTTAGTATACGGGCTTAGGGTTAGACAAAGTTCGACAGTTGATCTATGTTTCGGGTCCAATGCCAGTTTCCGTCAGGGGTCGGTGACAAGACGGTGCGGCGGAATTTCGATGCCCATTGTCACAGAACCTCCCTTCCAAGGCGATTCTTCCTTTCCCAGAGACTCCAAAACCCCTTTATTCAGGTATATACCTTAAATCATATTAGGGTTCCTATTCTAATTTAAGGTATATTCCTTAATTAATGGGTTTGGGAGTCTCTGGGTTCTTCCCGAAAGATTTTCCCTACGCGTTCAGGTCTTAGAGGGTCTTGGGTCCCTAACGAGTGAAGTGTTGCTTGCATCGTGTTCGTTGTTTCAGTTCGACGCGTTCTTGATTTTTTTGTTTCTCCGTGAATGCGTCTTGCACGGAAACTGGTTAATGCGCGAAACATCCTTCTTGGTCATTAAAACTATTGATCGCATCGTCACACCTGTGAACTACATGCTATGCTCATTTTCATCTTCTGAACGAAGTGAATTAGCTTCGCGTTCTTGCACAGTTTGTTCTTTCCAGCTCTTGCTGCCCTTAAATGCCCGAAGCCGCAACGCTTAGAACCCACTGCCATCTTTCGGTGGGTTTTCTTGCTCAGCTTTAAGACATCTCTTCCAGGGTCTCCTAGGAAAACCCGCATCCAAAACCCCTTAATTCAGGTATATACCTTAAGTCATATTAGGGTTCCTATTCTAATTTAAGGTATATTCCTTAATTAAGGGGTTTTGGAGTCTCTGGGTTTGGCCCTATAGCACCTCTCATTTCAGGATTTCTTGGGAGAAAAACAAAGCCCGCAGGCCTGTACCCCCCTTGCCAGGGCGATGGCGCCACCGTCTTTCCCTGCGCCAGCGGTGAGCCACCGGAGGTCGGCCCTTCCGCGGGTTCTAGGGTTTGTATCAGGGGTTTTAGGGTTAGGGTTTAGGGTTTAGGGTGATAGGGTTGAGGGCTTGGAGAGCAACATAACCCCGAAGCTCTACGCCCTAGCCCATTGCCTATAGAGTCTATAGGGTTTATGTTATGGGGTGCTTAGGGCGTGTAGGGTCTGTCTCGGGGGTGTTTAGGGCTGATAGGGTTTACAGGGTTTATGTTGTGGGGTTCTTAGGGCTTGTAGGGTTTATAGGGTTTCTACAGTCTCTAGGGTTTCTCGGCGCTTACAGGGGTTATCGCGTTTTTGGAGGTTCTAGAAAGGGTTTTTAGGGTTAAGGCGCGCGTTGCGGCGTGCCCAGAGAGCCCAATATCCCTTAATTGGGGAAGAGACCTCCTCAGTTTCAAAAGTTTCGGGTTCAGAGAATAGGGAATGTCTGGTATTCTGAAAACCCTGAAGCCTGAACCCGAAACCGCTAGTCCTTGATTCCAAGCTCTCGGGCTCTCTGAGTCGTGTGGAGGCCAGTGAATCTGGGGCTTCCGAAACGGCCTTTTGGGGTTCCGTTTCAGGGGGATTCTGTTTCTTTGGGGGTGCAGAAACATGGGCAAATGGTTTCCGAAAACGCCCGCCCTAACTTAGAATCTTAAACTGGAGCCCATCCCAGAAAGTACCGAAATAACCCTAAACCCTATAAACCCTAAACCGTCTTCGACCCCCGAGGTGCAGGTGTCGAAGAGGGCGCGTGAGGCTGGAGAGGCGCGCGGGCGATCTGAGGGGTGATGGCTTCATGAAGTAGGGCTTGGGGCTTCCTTGACGCTTAGATGGCTGAAGGGTTTTAGGCTTGGTTGGTTTCATCAAGGTTCCGGCCTTCATGTTGTTTGCGGCCGCTGAGTATGAAACCTTCAACAACTTTCGTGGGTGTTTTTGTCCTCCCAAAATCCTTGTCCTGGTTAACTCAGTCTCGAAGCAGTTCTGATTACCTAGTCGTATGTTCAAGCATAGTGGGGACGTATTCCATTTTCGCATGTCAATTCTTTTAAAAGCATACGGTTGGGAATATTTACGAGGGGCGGAGGGGGGGTGTAGTAGAGGGTTTAACATTAGGAGGATGAGAGAACTCAGGGGCCCCCACATGGAGCCTACTGTAGCTCCAAGGAAGGTACAGTTCCAGTGAGGCTCCAACAAGGTTGAGCTGTGAGGTTGCCCAGGTTTAGGGTTTGGGGTTTAGGGTTTAGGGTTTGGGGTTTAGGGTTTAGGGTTTAGGTTTAGCGGTTCGAAGCGTTGTGTACCTTGCCGCGTCTCCTCTGCTTGGGGGAATGTCATCCATGCCGCTACTGGTTTTCTTGGCGGCGGCGCACAATTGATGATCTTGTGGCTGCCAGGTATCCAGAAAGCTCACTACCGGGTTTAGGGTTTAGGGGGTAGGGTCAACAATTCCGGAAGTTTCACAACAAGCCTGGATCCTAGAGCCTACTGGGCCTCCGCTCACTCAACACGAGCTGCAGTCTCCCAAGCCTAGTAGCAGCCTTTAACAAACATAGCCTCAACGCCCCTGAACGCAGTTGAAAAAAGCACCAAAAGACCGTCTGACCACACCACAAGAATGGAACATCGAACCGACCTTGAAAACAGCTAAACCCTGAACCCTAAACCCTCAACCCTGAACCCTAAACCCTAAACCCTAAACTTCCCTGAAGGTTCTGTGGCGGGAGGGCGGCTTGCACACGAAGAACCTGGCAGACCCCGAGTTGGAAATACATGCCGAGGACCCGAGAGAACGTTGGAGAGGCCTTGAGGGTTTAGGGATTCAGGGCTTAGGGATTTAGGGTTTAGGCAGGGTTGTAGGCATCGCCCACATGATTTCAGAGGGGTTCGGGCTTCTCGGGTGGCCTAGATTGCTATAGGGCTTTCGTCCTTTTCTGGAGCTTGTTTTCAGAATAAAGAAACACTTGCGAAAGGGGAAGGCTCAGCAACATCCATAGACCCACTTCCCCCCCCCCCCCCCCCCTATGCAGGAGCTCATGGATGGCGCGCAGGCGCGGAAGGGGCTGTCAGTCTATCCCGAGTGCGGCAAGCTCCTCTGATGACATGGACCGTAGGGTTTAGGGTTTAGGGTTTAGGGTTTAGGGTTTAGGGTTTAGGGTTTAGGGTTTAGGGTTTAGGGTTTAGGGCCCAGGAAGGAGGATTCAGTTGAGGAAGGAGCATTGACTTACTTATAAAAATAGGTGAACTTTAAACTTTTGGGTTTACTTATTTAGTAGGAATGACAAAGTTTAATATTTTTCCCTTGGTTATTGGAGAAGTAAGTTAAAGACCTTCATGGGAGAACCCTGAACACCTAAGTCCTAAACCGGAATCCCAAAGTCTAACCTTCAGTTCTGTTTGGAGAAGAGCCCTTCACTGGGAAAGCTCCCGTTCGGGAGATCGCCCAAGACTTGTCAAAGCTTTAAGGCCGGTGCCTCAAGCTCCCAGCATTTCACGGGACTAGAGGCTTAGGGTTTGGTATTTAGAGTTTTTTGGGTTTAGGGCAACCGTCTTCGGCGCTCCGATACGAGCAAGAAGGGATGAATTTTGGGTTTCGCTATGGCGGGCCGTCGGGGCCGGTGTCTCCCTCCGGGGGCCTTCGCTGGGTAGAAGAAGAAGAAGAAGAGAGAAAGAGAGAGAAAGAGAGAGAGAGAGAGAGATAGAGAGAGAGAAAGAGAGAAGAACAAAATATATATTTACTTCGAACATCCCCACCCTCTCTGGGTAGAGATGCTCTGGGGTTGGGCACTGCAGGGACACTCTGGGGTTGGGCACTCCAGGGATGAGCGAGGAGTAGACCGGGCGAGGAGAAGAGTTTAGTTTAAAATCTATCCACCCCACATCGAGCGTGGGGAACAAAGAGAGAGAAAGAGGAGAGAGAAACGTCTTCGTAGCTAAAACCCCGAAGCGAGGGAGAGAGAGAGAGAGAGAGAAGAACAATATACATAACATAAAAACAAGCAAACGAAGCATTCGCGCGGGGGCGATTGCAGGGGCGGAGTCGTAGCTGTCGGCTTCAGGCCCTCTTTCAAGACCTACATGAGCCCTAGGACTCTTACAGCCCCTACAGCTCTTAAGCCCTCAGCACCCTCAACCCTAAACCTCCTATACCAAAAGCTACAACACCTATAACAAGGCCGAGGCCCTGAACCCTCAGCCGATAAGGTTGGCCCTCTTCTTCTCCACAGGGGACGAGGGTGATGTGGACCCCATGTCATGGCATGGCCGCTTGGCTGGTGGCTGAGCATTTCGGGCGCTTGGCTTAGGGCTTAGGGACAACAAAGGTCGGGCTTGGGGCTTAGGGCTTGTAGGGTTTAGGGTTTAGGGCTTAGGGTTTAGGGCTTAGGGCTTGTAGGGCTTAGGGTTTAGGGTTTAGCCCTACGCCCCTAAGCTTCAAGCCCGAAGCCCTGTAAATAGACCCCTAAACCCTAACCTTAAACCCTAAACCCTACACCCTAAACCCTAAACCCTAAAACCCCTAAACCCCTAAACCCCTAAACCCCTAAACCCTAAACCGAAGCCTCTTTCGCCAGGTGGAGCTCAGGTGGGCGCGGCGGGGGATCATGGAGGCAAGTGGATGCTCCTGGACAGCAGATTTAGAACAACTTTGTGGGGTTTAGGGTTTAGAGTTTAGGGTTTAGGGAAAAGGGTTTAGGATTTGGCGTCGTTTTGGCGCCTTGGTACCTTTAAGCCCATGAAGAGCCCATAGCTGGAGACATCCCCAGTATTTGTTTGGTCGATACATGATGCGTGACCCGCGTGGATTTTCTTACTGCACCCGGATGATTTGACTCTATTCAGGATTCCTGAATAGCCCAGCAAGTTTAACTTTAGTGAGGGGGCTCCCACTAACACAGGTGGAACATTAAACCCCTAAACCCTAAACCCTAAACCCTAAACCCTAAACCCTAAACTCTAAACCCTAAACCCTAAACCCTAAACCCTAAACCCTAAACCTCCACCCGAGAACCCCCTGTGGAAGAGCCGAGGCTTCAAATCTTCAAGACTCCCGGCCTGCAATGCTTAGAGGGTTGAGGTGTATGGCCCGACTTAACCCCAAGAACCCTCACCAGCCCATTCAACGGGTTTAGGGTTTAGGGTTTAGGGTTTAGGGTTTAGGGTTTAGGGTTTAGGGTTTAGGGTTTAGGGTTTAGGGTACCCAGAGTATGCCCTTTTTCCCCTTTTTTTCTCACCTTCGGTGTGGGGTTGTTAGATTTTAAGCTCAACTCTTCTCCTCGCCCGGAACTCTTCTCCTCGCCCGGTCTACTCCTACAGACTCCCTGGAGTGCCCAACCCCAAAAAACTCGAGTGCCCAACCCCAGAAAAACTCCCTGGAGTGCCCAATCCCAGAGACTCCCTGGAGTGCCCAACGCCAGAGACTCCCTGGAGTGCCCAATCCCAGAGACTCCCTGGAGTGGTCAATTTCAGAGATTCCCTGTGCCCAACCTCAGAGACTTCCTGGAGTGCCCAACCTCAGCACTCCCTGAAATGCCCAACTCCAGAGACTCCCTGAAGGTGGGGATGTTCGAAGTAAAAAAAAAAAAATATATATATATATATATATATATATTTTTTTTTTTTTTTTTTTGGGGGGGGGGGTTGGGTTCGATCACCCTTTCTGTTCTTCGGTTTGCTCTTGGGTCGAAATGGAGTTTATTGGGGCAGCTTCAGGGTTCAGGCCCCAAAGGATCTTCCCAAACCCTTTCGGGGGTTTCGGGTTCCCTAAACCCTAAGCCCTAAACCTAAACCACAAAACCCCTAACCCCTAAACCCTAAACCATAAACCCCAAACCCTAAACCCTAAACCCTAAACCCTACGCCCACGGCCCTGAAAGCCAGGACCATCCCTCCGGAGCTGCGTGGCCGGAAGGAGCTGATCTCCCGCTTCTGCCAGCGCTGCCGCCGACCAGCTGCACTCCTGGGTTTAGGGTTTAGGGTTTAGGGTTTAGGGTTTAGGGTTTAGGGTTTAGGGTTTAGGGTTTAGAGTTTAGGCCACAACACCTTATGCAGCTCCATCTTGAACCTTTTTGGGGTTAAGGGTTTAGGGGTTTAGGGTTTCTACCTTTGTCACCCCAAGCCTTAAGCCGTAAGCCGCAGAAATGAAAAGGGGCTACTCCACTGCCCAATGTGGGGGACCCTACCGCTTTAATGGTACCCGAGCCTTGCATCTAAGACCCAGAGAACACGACTAAGCCCTGAATCAAAGAGGGTTTAGGGTTTAGGGTCTAGAGTTTGGGGTAGCCGTCTATGAGTCGCACTCCATCTGCTAAGGCGGCCCCCTAAAACCCTAAAGCGGGGGATGCGCACGATGCCAGGGCATCACCGGCTTCGGGTGGCCTGGGACTGCTAGGGGCAGCGGATCCGTCAGCCATCATAACGTCATTGACCAGGAATGACAAGGAACTCATGAATACTAACCATAAGAATGTGAAAAATGGTTGGGGAACATTTTAACTTGAAAATTGCAAAGCATCATCATCATCATCATCATCATCATCATCATCATCTTCAGAACCGTCATTAATGCTGACAAGTCATAGCCTTTAATGAATACTTCGCTCTGTCATCATAAATAAGCCCAGTTTCATCGCATGAATATACTTAACACAGTTTTGAGCCACAAGGCGGCATGGTAGTGTACGAAGCCATGGCAGGCTTCAAGACCGGACTTTAGGGGCAACCCGCTCTCGAACAGGTCAACCACCGGACTTCACGCTTGACGGCGTTTATCACCGGCAAGTGGGCGCAAGGCCCGGCGGAGACGGCGATTCTGCTTACCCCTGCGCAGAAAAGGAGGCTCGCTGAGCGTCGAGGGCGGGAGTCCTTGACTCGCGCTGCTGATTTGGTGTTCATGGCTAGGGCCACTGTTAAAAGAACAGGCATGATTGTTGGTTGGTTGTATGTTCAAAGGACCAAAGGTTGAAACTTTCATGACCAGGCAGGCGCTCACCAGGGTGGTGATGGTGGCTTCCTTGAGAAATTTCAGCAGCACGTGCTACTCGCCCGAAACCCTAACCCCTAAACCCTAAACCCTAAACCCTAAACCCTAACCCCTAACCCCTAACCCTAAACCCTAAACCCTAAACCCTAAACCCTAAACCCTAGTGCCATGCCATGGACTTCGCGTGCTCTTGCTTCAAGCTGACACATCTTAGAAGTCCTTTCCCAGAGTTACTAGGTTGGTTTTTGGGACATTTTTTTGTTTTCCTTATTTGGGTTTTATGACCCTATATGTATATATATATATATACATTTTTTTCAGAGGGTTTAAAGGCCAACCCAGGTTAGCTTTGATGCAGAATGCAGATCTTCACCTTCAAGTCGGCAGGCCCTTTAGATGGTGGAGTAGTAGAAGCCTGTAGCTATATGGGGATTTCCGAAAGTAGGGTACCCCTGACCAAGATACTATGTAGTCCTTTTAAATGGAGCCCCAAAAAGGGTACCCCTACTTTCGGAAAGCCCCAGATATTGCCTAGACCAAACCCTAAACCCCTCCACCCTAAGCGTCGCGAAACACGATCCCACGTAGAGTCGGCCACTGACGGATGCTATGTGGGACCTGCTCTTTTCGCGCCCTGGCCTCTCAGCTGAAGAGTTTCGGGTTTCGGGTTTAGGGTTTAGGGTTTAGGGTTTAGGTTGGGTTTAAGGCTTCTCCGAACCTACACCCAGACCCTCAACCCGCAACCCTGAGCCCCAAACCCCGGGAGTAGTGTTGAGTTGCATGCACCACAACACACGCCCTGCATTACAGCAAGAACTCGTCCACACATGTTGGGCACTGCAATAAACCCTAACCCCCAGGCCCTCAAACCTACACCCTAAACCCTATAAGCCCTAAACCCCCAAGGCCCTAGAACCTACCATAGGGGTCGGAGTAATTACTAATCGTATTCCCTCATGGTCCCTTTATTCTGCTTATACTATAATAACTCCCCAAAAAACCCTGTTCCAACATATTCAGGCCCCTACATTACACCCTACACCTCCTTCCATGAGGTTCGCAGTCTGCTGCTGGCCTTATGGGCGGCTTTGTCTGGCCTCACCTTCCTGGTGCTGCGGCCAGAGGTCGGCCCGCGTTTTTGGGTTGAGGTTTCCCTAGGGTTTAGGGTTTAGGGCTTAGGGTTTAGGTTTTATATAGGGTTATGGAGTTACCCAAAGGCTCCAATGTGGTTCCTTTTTAGGTTATAGGGCATTTTAGTATGCTACCCCCAAAAAGGTACTACGTAGGAGCCTTTGGGTAGTGAGCTGTTTTTTGTTGCGGAGTTTAGCGTTCAGGGTGTAGAGTTTAGGGATTAGAAAGTTGGGGTCTAGGGTTTAGCGTTTAGGGTTAAGGGATAGTAAATTGAGATTTGGGGTTTAGGATGTAGGGCTTAGGGATTGGTATGTTGGGACTTAGGGCTTAGTGTCGGGTATACTGTCGGGGCTTTTCGAGCTGGGAATGGGGCTTCTGTCGTACAGAGTTTGTAGGGCTTTCTACGGCCGACAGGACTGACAGGGTCTGCGAGGCTTGCAGGGGGCTTGTACAATCTACAGAGTTTTACAGGGTCATAGAGTCTTCAGTGAGGTGTCTTTAAGGCTTTATGGGGTTCGGATTGGCTGCGGCTTTTTGGGGTTCCAGGAGTCTAGGGGCTTCGGGAGCTGGTGGTTTTTAGGGTTTCGGGGTCATTGAAGGGCCAGTACATGAAGAGACTGTGGACTACAAAACGCTCGGCACCCCTGAACCCCATCACCAATGCCGTGGCGCTCGGCCCTACACTCTAAGGCCCTATACCTCCTAGCACGTAAGCCCGCTGTGGGGAGGACTAAACACAAGCCAAAAGGGGGCCCACATCAATTGGAGAAAAAGAGCCGCCCATGCATCGCGACGGGAGGTTTTTACAGGGGAGGGCCCCTGCAACAACTGGAGGGGTCTCGATGGTACATACTCGGGCCTGGAAGGGGCTCCCATACAGTATATATAGCTCTAGGGCCCTAAACCCGCAACCCTAAACCCTAAACCCTAAACCCTAAACCCTAAACCCTAAACCATGTTTGGGGGTTAATTTAGGATTTAGGGTTTCGGGGACGGGTTTCGGGGGTTTCTGGGTTGCAGGGCGACGGCTTCGTCGCCCGGCCGCTGCGAGATGTGGCCTGGAGCAACCCTTCCATGGCCATGCGCAGCTCACCTTGCATGGTGTGGGGTTTAGGGTTTAGGGTTTATGGGTTTATGGGTTTATGGGTTTATGGGGTTTAGGGTTTAGGGTTTGGGGTTTTAGGGTTTGGGGTTTAGGGTTTAGGGTTTGGGGTTTAGGGTTTAGGGTTTGGGGTTTCGGGTGGGGCTTTGTGTTTTAGTTCTTTCGGGTTGGGGTTTCGGGTTCTTGGCCTAGGGCTTCGGAGTAGAGGCACGTGCTCGCCCGATATCTGGGCAGGTCTCACACAGGTGGTGACATGGGTCCATGGGCCCAAAAAACCCTATAATCAACCGTATAATAGCCCATGCTGGAATGCCATAGTCCTTATCACAGGCAGAGGACTTAGGGTTTATGACGCTTGTAGGGTAGAATGAGATGGTTTAGGGACCCCCCCCCCCCCCCCTGGAACCTCTGCGATGCCCAGAAGCCCGGATCAAGCCCCAGAACCCCTCGAAACATCCTGCAAAACATCAACTTCTTCAAGGTTTAAGGCTTCTGGTTTAAGGTTAAGGGCCCAAACCTGCCTCTGTTTCCCGGCTGTTCGTTTCTGAACCCAAGCCCCTGAAAGGATAGTCCCTAAACCCCAAACCCTGAACCCTGAACGAAAGAGATACATAATACAGATGCCTTGCAACTTGCCTGTGAAGAGATCGTGCCAGAAAGAGGCCCTGCGCTAAGAAAGCACGCGGATCCTGTCCAAACTCATCACGCCAGCATTGCGTTTTCAAATGAGGGAGCGGCTGTTCCCCCTCCTTGTTTTTGGGGTTTTGTTGGTGCACTTTGAAGCGCAACCTTGCTTTGTAAAGAAGACCATGCTGCAAAGAAGACTTGCTTGGGATCCTGGAAGTCAAGTGGGGGGTTACGATATTAGGGGTACCTTATCGGGGTCCCTTCTTATAAGGGGCTCCTACTCTTTGGGGCTCGATATTCGGGTCCCTTACAATCGTAAACCCCCAATTCTCCCTCCGCGCACTTGCAGTCAAACTTTGTGTTGGGACCCACATTTTCTACGAACCCTAAACCCTAGACGACCCTAAACCCTAGACCCTGCCAGATTTGGGGTTCTGAATTTCGACTCCGGGACAACCAGCTTACTTGAGTTTAAGGGGTTGGGGGTTTAGGGGGTTTGGGGGCTCAGAATTTTCGGGTTTCGGGTTTACGGTTGAGTTCATTCAGGGTCCAGGGTATGCATTCAGCGTACGCGACGCCTTTCTTTAGACTTAGGACTTAGGCTATGCCGCAGCCCCACCCCCCACCCTTACTATTCTCTTGAAGATTTCCCAAACTGGGTTTTCGGAAAGTCTCCTGCCGGTTTCACCAGGGCCTCGGTCTTAGGGTGTCTTAGGAAAGCCCAAGGCAGTCCCAGAAGCGAGCAGAAGGGGTTGCGACGCGGCACCGAGAGAGCGGTGCTCTCGCGGTTTAGGGTCGAGTTTGGGGTGTTGGGGTGTGGCCAGGGTTTAGGGGTTAGGGAGTTAAGGGTGTAGGGTTCAGGATTTAGGGGTTTAGGGTTGAGTCCAGGGATTGGGGGTTTAGGGTTTAGGGGTTCAATGTTAAATTCAGGGCTTAGGGTCCACAAAGCTCAAGGCCTTGCCGGCGCGCTCCTCGACGCGCAGCGCATGGCCGCGGAGCCCGAGAAGGTGCGCCACTTTTGTTGTAAAATGGGGTGGAGGGGAGGGGGGGTCGGCATAATGGCTGTAGTATGTCCTGAGGGTACAACCCTGTTCTAGTTATTCAGGTCCCTATACTAGGTTCTTAGTTTGTAGAATAGAAGCCCCTTAGAGGCCTCTCATAGTCGCATGGGCTTCGGGTAAAGCGTAGGGTGTAGTGTAGCTGTATGGCGTTTCGGGTTGGCAGGGTTGAACGGGCTTTCGTGTGTAGACAGCAGCAAAAAGTTTGCAGAGCTTTATAGCCATAAGCCCTGACCAGGCGAGAAACTCCTTCGCACCCTTTTGTTGGGAGAAGTCAGCAAATACCTCAACCTCTTCAACCAACATGTCGAAAAACCAGGGCTTAGGGTTAGGATTGAATCCTAAGCCCTGAACCTTCAATCCTAAACCGAGCCTAAACCTCTAAACCTGGGGGTGGTTCGAGGGACAGCACTGTGTTGACATGCTCTATTTTTGTTCTAGGTGCAAGCTGGACACGTCTGAAGCGAGTGCAGTTGATCTGCTTTCGCTCTGCATGTCAGAGCTGGCGGCGTGTCAGTTCAAAGCCCCGGGGTTTAAGCACCACAAACCCCTTAAGCCCTCAAGCCCGCAGTGTTGGGAGGCGGAGCTGCTTTCGCTGCGGACAGCAACAGCTGAGCAATTTCCAGGAGGGTCGAGGGGGGGGGGGTTAGGGACCGGCTGCGCTGGCACACCTCCCGTCAGGTTCGAATTCATTGCTTCTCTTCTCTTTCTGGCTCCCGACCTGACATCCAGGCAATCAAGTATGTACGTATCCCTTATGCCCAAAGATGCCCTTGGACCAGAGCCTTCGACTCGAGCCTTCTTGGGGAAGGCTGGAGAGTGATTGTTTGAGAGGGCGACCTACAGCTCGAAGCGCAGGCGGGGTGCACATGCTTCCCAGCCGTCGCCGGGGGCAGCTGCTCCAGTGCCTCTGCCGGCGTTTCGAGGTCCGGCGCGTTCTGGAGGTGGGTCCCCTGGCCGACTTTGGGGGCCGATCTTGTCCCTCTCCCGTAACCCACAAAAAGTTGACTTTGAGGCTGCCAGAGACGGGGCAGGGTTCTTAAATCATGCGGGCTCGCAGGCTGCTCTTACTATTCCCCTGACAAAACCTGAAATGAGCTTCTTTGGGCCCAGTTTGGGATTCCGTGATGAAGGAAAATTCAGAGCTCCAGGCTTGGGATTCGAGGATGTGAGGGCTTATCCCCGACCTCTCGGGCATGCGATCACTCGTTGCTTGATGGCCGTTTTGTGCAGCCACAAAACACAGCGCAAGAAGCGCACTTTGCTGCCACTGCAACCACTGTAGTAGCAACAGTCATAGTCATAATCTCTTTAATGCTTCTACTACGACGACGACAAACTACAACTACCGCACAGCGGCTTGATGAGGTTTTGTACGGGGTTTTGGAGACCCAATGCAGGCTTAGCAGGGGCTTAGTGGGGGATGCAAGGCACCGAACCCTAAACCCTAAAACCTAAACCCTAAACCCTAAGTAGCAGTGGGCACTCAGAGCTCGGGGTCTGGCGAAGCAGCAATGTAGCAGCTTTCCAGTCTGCAGGAGCCTGAGTGTGCCTCCGAACCCTCCAGCTCTGCGATTTGGCCCTCCTCCGCCACGTCTGAACTTTCGAAGCCCTGTTGGTCTTCTTTTGCGTCGCGTGCCCTAAGCCCCAGACCTAAAATCCTAAGCCACAAGCTCGAACATCCTTAACCTAAGCCCTGTAGGCTTTCGGGGGAAAGCGAGGATCCCATCCCACAGGCACGTTTACAGGCTTCTCCGCCTTTTGCTTCGCAGAAGCAGGGGCCAAGGCCTTGGTCGATTTTTTTGTTTTTGGTGATTTTTGGGGTTTAGGGTTTCTGTGCTTTCTTTTTTGGGTGGGGCCCGGGGGGGGGGGGTTTTGGGTTTAGGGTTTTTAGGTTTTTTAGTAGATTGCCCTAGGTGTGACAGGCAGTGGCTCCTAGTTTCAGGGCTTAGAGGGCGGGGTGGTCGGGTGGCCCGCACTATATGCCCGCATCTCTTGAAGCCGGGTTCTCGAACAGCCATAAACCCCCAAACCCTGTATAGCTAAGGGTAGTTGCATGGTCCCTTGTCCCTTACCTCCTTCAAAGGGTGCGGAAGTATGGGCCCTTGGGTTGTATAGCGGTATACAAGCGGTCCCCGTTTAAGGGCCCATACTAAGGAACCATGTAACCCTGAACCCTAAACCCTAAACCCTAAACCCTAAACCCTAAACCCTAAACCCCACATTCCCCGAATGAAGGGGCGCCTGCTCTCCCCGAGTGCAGGTCATAAGCCTGGAGCGGAGCTCCTCCCAGGCGAGCCTCGCGCGGGCCGCCACAAGGAGCCTGGGCGTTTGTCGGGTTCAGGGTTTATAGGGTTTAGGGTTTAGGGTTAGGGTTTAGGGTTTAGGGTTTAGGGCTCAGGTTTGGGGTTTAAGGTTTAGGGTTCAGGGCTAAGGGTTTAAGGTTTAGGGTTGAGGGTTCAGGGTTCAGAGCTTTGGCGGGCCTTAAACCGCAGGCCCTAGAACCTACAACCCTGAAAGCCCTACAGCATATATCAACCGACAAGCCGCCACACCTGCTAAGAAAACTGAGAGTCTAACCCTAAAGCCTAAAAGCCCTACTTTCAAGTAAGCCCCGTGTTTTTTTGTGGATGTTCATTGTTTTTGTGAAGGGGGGAGTCGGGGTGGACACGATCTTCCCTGTAATTGCAATCCTTTCAGAATCCCTAATTGACACGGAAGTCCTCTGGGGTATATCGGCAGTTTCGTCAGGGGGCTTGTCAACATGAAGCCGCAAAGCTTATACACTGGAAGCCTTTAGTTACTGTAATATAGGGATCGGAAAATTAGTAGTAGTGTCCCCTTACGGTCCCTTTGTAATTCTACTATAGTACCCCCCAAAACCCTGTTCTAATTTTTCAGGCCCCTATAGTAGCCCTAGTCCGAGTTCGAGGACTGCTGCCTGCAGCGTTGAGGCTGCTGGGACCTGTGCGCGGCTTTTGATCTTCAGCCTTTTTTGGGTTTAGGGTTTAGGTTTTTAGGGGTTTATGGGGCTTCGGGTTTAGGATGTGGGGCTACTTCAGTGGTTTTGAGACTTTCTCATTAAACTGGCCCTACTATGGGTTCAGACTGTGGTTGTGAGTAGGCTCACAAGTATTGGCCGTAGGTCCCATAGGCTTAAGGTTTCGAGTGGAGAGCTTTTGACCGCAAACCCAAATCCGAAAAAAGGCCCTATCAAACCCCAAACCCCCAAAGCCTAACTAACCCCCCCCCCCCCCCAAAAAAAAAAATCAAAAATGAAGGGTTAAGCCGCGAAAAAAATCAAGGGTTAAGATAAATCCGTTAAAATATCCTCGACCCTAATTAAGCCCCTCAACCTTTGCAGGTGTGCGTGGGCGATGCCCGCCACTTGGTGCGAACCTTGGGCGAGGCGGGGTTTAGGGTTTAGGGTTTAGGGTATATAGGGTTTATGGGGGTCCAGGGCTTACAGGACTTCCAGGGCCTCAAGGGTTCAGGGATAGGGTTTCTAGGACCTCGAAGGCTTCTAGGACTTCTAGGGCTTCTAGGGTGAGTGTAGGGTGTTAGGCTTCGAGGGGCCGGGGGGGGGGGGGGGGTTATAAGGGCTTAGGGATGCCGAGGATCTATAGTAAACACACCATGGAAACGCTAAGCCCCCAAATCCAGATCTTACTTCACCGAAGCCCACAATTATGGCACGTAGCCCATAACCCTAAAACCCTAAAAACCTAAAAACCTAAAAAACCTAAACCCTAAACCCCTCCACAGGAACCCCTGCCGACATTTGACTTGCTCCATTTGGACGCTGCCTCTTGGCGGCGCTAGGACTTGGGATAGCCATTATCCGGTTTAGGGGATTGCCGACGTCATCGATCCTAAACAATTGTAGCGCTTGGGGAAGGCCCTGAGTGGTTGGGGAATGCAGGCGCTGGGCCGGAGCATGATGAGCATCAGCTCGGAAGGCCTTGAGCCGCATTAAGGACATGCAGGCGCGGGGCCGGAGCATCATGAGCATCAGCTCGGAAGGCCTTGAGCCGCGTTAAGGACATGCAGGCGCTGGGCCGGAGCATCATGAGCATCAGCTCGGAAGGCCTTGAGCCGCGTTAAGGACATGCAGGCGCTGGGCCGGAGCATCATGAGCATCAGCTCGGAAGGCCTTGAGCCGCGTGAAGGACATGCAGGCGCTGGGCCGGAGCATCATGAGCATCAGCTCGGAAGGCCTTGAGCCGCGTTAAGGACATGCAGGCGCTGGGCCGGAGCATCATGAGCATCAGCTCGGAAGGCCTTGGGCCGCATGAAGGACATGCAGGCGCTGGGCCGGAGCATCATGAGCATCAGCTCGGAAGGCCTTGAGCCGCAGGGCCGGAGCATCATGAGCATCAGCTCGGAAGGCCTTGAGCCGCATGAAGGACATGCAGGCGCTGGGCCGGAGCATCATGAGCATCAGCTCGGCAGGCCTTGAGCCGCGTTAAGGACATGCAGGCGCTGGGCCGGAGCATCATGAGCATCAGCTCGGAAGGCCTTGAGCCGCGTTAAGGACATGCAGGCGCTGGGCCGGAGCATCATGAGCATCAGCTCGGAAGGCCTTGAGCCGCGTTAAGGACATGCAGGCGCTGGGCCGGAGCATCATGAGCATCAGCTCGGAAGGCCTTGAGCTGCGTTAAGGACATGCAGGCGCTGGGCCGGAGCATCATGAGCATCAGCTCGGAAGGCCTTGAGCCGCATGAAGGACATGCAGGCGCTGGGCCGGAGCATCATGAGCATCAGCTCGGAAGGCCTTGAGCGGCGTTAGGACATGCAGGCGCTGGGCCGGAGCATCATGAGCATCAGCTCGGAAGGCCTTGAGCCGCATGAAGGACATGCAGGCGCTGGGCCGGAGCATCATGAGCATCAGCTCGGAAGGCCTTGAGCCGCGTTAAGGACATGCAGGCGCTGGGCCGGAGCATCATGAGCATCAGCTCGGAAGGCCTTGAGCCGCATGAAGGACATGCAGGCGCTGGGCCGGAGCATCATGAGCATCAGCTCGGAAGGCCTTGAGCCGCGTTAAGGACATGCAGGCGCTGGGCCGGAGCATCATGAGCATCAGCTCGAAAGGCCTTGAGCCGCGTTAAGGACATGCAGGCGCTGGGCCGGAGCAGCATGAGCATCAGCTCGGAAGGCCTTGAGCTGCGTTAAGGACATGCAGGCGCTGGGCCGGAGCATCATGAGCATCAGCTCGGAAGGCCTTGAGCCGCATGAAGGACATGCAGGCGCTGGGCCGGAGCATCAGCTCGCGTTAAGGACATGCAGGTGCTGGGCCGGAGCATCATGAGCATCAGCTCGGAAGGCCTTGAGCCGCATGAAGGACATGCAGGCGCTGGGCCGGAGCATCATGAGCATCAGCTCGGAAGGCCTTGAGCTGTGTTAAGGACATGCAGGCGCTGGGCCGGAGCATCATGAGCATCAGCTCGGAAGGCCTTGAGCCGCATGAAGGACATGCAGGCGCTGGGCCGGAGCATCAGCTCGCGTTAAGGACATGCAGGCGCTGGGCCGGAGCATCATGAGCATCAGCTCGGAAGGCCTTGAGCCGCGTTAAGGACATGCAGGCGCTGGGCCGGAGCATCATGAGCATCAGCTCGGAAGGCCTTGAGCCGCGTTAAGGACATGCAGGCGTTGGGCCGGAGCATCATGAGCATCAGCTCGGAAGGCCTTGAGCCGCGTTAAGGACATGCAGGCGCTGGGCCGGAGCATCATGAGCATCAGCTCGGAAGGCCTTGAGCCGCGTTAAGGACATGCAGGCGCGTGAGCATCAGCTCGGAAGGCCTTTGAGCCTGGGTTGGTGGTCTCTTGTTTTGACGGAAGATTCGAGGATCCGATGCTGGGGTTCCTTTTTCATTAGCTTTTGACTTCGGCCCTAGATCCCCGGACAACACATAGATGTGATCGTAGTAGGTCTTTGTCGGTGAGGGCTTACTCTTGTGGACATGCTTTACATTTAGAGCCTTGAGAAGTCTTGAGCGGGACTGGTGGCTGTTGACAGGACATGAAGAACTATCAGTACTACCTGGACACTTGCCGCAGTGACTCGAGGAGAAGCTATGGTGAGTTTGGGCCGGAGGGGGGCCAGGGGGGTACGTGCGTAAAGCAGTTGCTGGGTGGTTTGTGACAAGGTTTCTTGGGCTCGATGCTAGCACTAGAAAAAACAACAGCGTGCCAAATCACTCAAGAAGCACTCAACAGGGTCTTCTCGTAGAAAGCTTTGGCAAGGTTATGGGCTTCTGTCGCCAAATGCACTCGTTCTGGCGGACAACGTTCTGTTCCGTGGGTCTCGAACTCAGCTGAGACTTCTATTGCTCAGCCCCACCATCATACTGACTGCGCAACTAGGGAGGGGCAGGTGCAATAAATCCAGTGAGGATGGACATGCATTGACCACTGAATCAACGTGCGGCTAAGCGCCAGCATTCTTGGGACCAGCACTGTCGTTTTGAGGCTAGTGGCGAACGCCAGCTTCGAGGATCGAGGCCAAGACGCTTCGCTCAGAACCTAAATGAACCCTATGTTCGCCAAAAGGGGCTCACAAGCATGCCAAACGTGCAGGTCGTGTGGGGCGCATCGTGCGAAGCCTTCGCAGCTTCAATCGGAAGATGTTGCGAGACAGCCCTGACACGGAAGGGGCGCCTTGGCAGTCTGCCCCTGGCTTGTCAGGGTCTAGGAGGTGGGGTGGGGTTCAGGAGTTTGGGGAGCACTCTACGTGTGGGTTAGGCGTTTTTGAGTGAGCTTAGGCGATTTTGCCAGAGGACGATGGCCTGGCTGTGATTTGGACTCGACCCTAATCGCCGAGTCGGCGAAGCCATGTTGCTGGCCATGGGTTCAGGCCCAAGCAGGAGTAAACCCTAAACCTGAAAGGGCCTTTAGGGTGTAAGGGTTTAGGGTTTAGGGGTTTAGGGTTTCATAGGGTGTAGGGTTTAGGTTCAGCACTGCTGGATGGTTTCGAAGCTTGGCGGTCGCAGAGTTGCAATCGAATCTGCCAGGGCCGTGCGGCGAACGGGAAGCGTGCCGAGAAAAGGCTTTCGCCTCGCCTGCTTTGTTTTCCTTGGTTGCAAAAAGTTATATATTTTATGTACATTTTTTGGGCGGGGGCAAAAAGTTGGGTCTTTTTCGTCAATTCTCAGGTTGCTGGGGAACCTATAGTCTTCCCCAATACCCAAGACAGTTTACCCTACAGGAGTAAGTGAACCACGTGGTGTACCAGGACCCAGAGTAGGCCATTATTCGTACCCTTGTTTTTCCTAAGTTACCTTTGGGTCGAGTGCATGAGCGCAACGTTGAAGTCAGGATGTCTGCATTGCCGGGCCTCTCCCACAACACTGGATCCTACAAACCCTAAGCTCTATAAGCCCTGGAACCCTACAAACCCTGTAGACCCTCTAAACCCTTTAAACCCACAACCCCTATATTGTAAATGCCATAAGCCCTAGAAACCCCCACAAACCTTATCAACCCTAAACCACAAGCCCCATACACCCTATAAACCCTCTGAGCCCTATGAACCCCCACAAGCCCTATAAACCCTGTAAACCCTATAATGTGGGACCTGCTTTAATGTGGGGGGCCCCCCCCCCCCCCTGAACAGTCGGGGCGTGGATTGGGTCCTGATTACACGGCCCCGGGGGCCTATATGATTTTAATAGGGTGGAGTTTAGATATGTTTAGAAGGGGCAGCAATGCCCGGTTATCTTTTTTAAAGGCGCGCCGCGTGGAATTTTCTTACGGCGCCCGGACGGTTTGACTTTAAAGCGGACCCCTCAAACAGTCAGGGGGTCCTGAATAATTCCGCCAAATTGACTTTAAAGCGACCCCCCCTAATAAAGCAGGTCCAACATTACGCCCTATAAACCCTACAACCCACAAGCCCTAAAAAGCCCGGTAAACCCCATGAGCCCACCCCCAAACCCTGTAAACCCTGTAAGCCCTTTAAACCCCATAAACCCCATAAACCCCACCAACCCCCTAAACCCTAAACCCTAAACCCTAAACCCTAAACCCTAAACCCTAAACCCTAAACCCTAAACCCTAAACCCTAAACCCTAAACCCTAAACCCTAAACCCTAAAACCCTAAAACCCTAAACCCTAAACCCTAAAACCCTGAACCCCCAGAAACCTCCACAAACCTCAAGAAATCGAATTCCTCCGGTGCAGGTGGCTGGGCCCCGAAGCCATGGCCTGAGGAGCCTGTAAGGGTTGGCAGTCTGGGCCCCCACAACCTAAACCCCATCGCGGCTTCGGGTTCAGGGTTTAGGGTTTAGGGTTTAAATTTAGGGTTTAGGGTTTGGTGTTTAGGGTTTAGGGTTTAGGGCTTAGAAGAGTTTCTTGGGCTGAGGGATTGACAAGGATGCGTTGGGGTCAATGCGTCCTTCAGCTGCCAGGATTCAGACGCGACGTGACCTCCACAAGCTTCAGGGGCCCCAAGTAGCGCGTAGTTTTCTTAGGGAGAGTTTCTCAAAGCCAGAAACTCCTGATCAGCTTGTGTTTGGGCACGCAGAAAAGTCGCAGAGCGCGAGGTCCCGAGCCTTGCCACCCAACTGGCGGATCGGAGCCCAAGCCCTGAAACGCCCTAGGGTTTAGGGTTTATGGTTTAGGGTTTAGGGTTTAGGGTTTAGGGTTTAGGGTTTAGGGTTTAGGGTTTAGGGTTTGGGGGGGTGGGGGGGGGTTCGGGTTTAGGGTTCGTTGGGTATAAGGGTTTAGGGAATCCCATCAAGGATGGATTGGGAGCTCCGGCAGTATCGCAGCGTCGGCTCTGCGAAAGTTGAGCGAGATCTCAAAGCAGCCAAAACATAACCCGCCCGAAACCCTAAACCCCAAACCGCAACCCAAAGCCCGAGCCTTAAGCCTTTCTCTCTCTCTCTCTCTCTCTCTCTCTCTCTCTCTCCAATCCGCCTTCATTTCGGTTGGCCTTGTGAGCCTGCCTGAGCCCTTTACAGGTATAGTTCCTTAGGAATTGTGTTTTGTTGCCTATATAGCATTCAAAGTGATATTCTTGGCCTGATTCTACATAAGCTTGAGGCTCAGGGCTTTAAGGCGTTGACGGGGTGTAAGCCTCCATGCTGATCCCCGCTGGCGGATGGCCCCAAGCTTCTCCGGGCCCATCAGGCCCTCCGGGCTTTCGCGTTGGGAGGGTTTGGGGTTTAGGGTTTAGGGTTTAGGGTTTAGGGTTGCTTAGGGGGCCGAGACGCCCTAAACGCTATGTCCTTTACTTTGGCTTCTTGGGCTTTTAGCCCCAAGCCACGAGAGCGCAAAAGCCTCAACCAAACACCCTCCATCACACACTCAAGCCTGCGCCCTAAACCGCTAAAGGGGTCGGACAAATCACGAATAGTATTCCCTTCTGGTCCCTATATCATTATACTAGAAGATCCCGCCAAGAAACCCGGCTCAACCCTGGTTCCAATTCTTATGCCCCCTACGTCAACCGAATCGCTAGCCCTAGCTCTCTACTGAGCATTGGCTGCGGGAGTTCAAGTTGGGCTTACAAGCCCATCGCAGATCTGGCCTAATATCATACCACTGGTATATGGGACAGGAAGCATGGCTTTTGTCTTACCGCAGCGGTATGGCTGTGACGTCACATGGTTTCAGTATGTTGCAAGTAGAATCTCGTTCTACCGGCAGCTGTCAGTTACAAGGTCAGTCCAGTTCTAGGGCCAGGGGTGCCATGCATTTGCAAGTATGGCTGACTTTGGGGGAGCTTATAGCTGGCAGTTCTTTCCGAGCAAACAGGACGGGTTTTGATTTTGGCCCCTAAACCCCTAAACCGCTGAAGCGAGGTGCACACGCAAACCGTCTCTAGCAAGTTTCCAAGCGCAACGCGCATTGCTTAGGGAGGGTCCGTTTCCCCCTGTGTGGAGAGCTCCCGTGTACCGCGAAACCCGACCTTTTTTATATCCTGTCTATTTTGTAATGAAGATACATGGGCATGCCAGTTTATCCAAAAACTGTACTCGATCTCAGTAGTACAAGGCATAGTGTGTGGTATGGTATGGCATGGTAGAGTGTGGCATAATATACAAAGTAAGCAGAAACTTGTATGAACTGTTAGTGTAGCATGGTATGGTTTGGTATAGTAGAGTAGAGTAGAGTAGACTAGAATAGATTAGCATCGAACAGAACATAGCATAGTACTGTACAGTATGATATATATATATATATATACACATGAAATAGGCGGCGAAACATGTGCTACTGTATAATATGTACTGGGTAGATCAAATCAAATAGTATATACTAAATTATGTCCAAACACACACACACACAGACAGAGACAGAGACAGAGACAGAGACAGAGACAGAGACAGAGACAGAGACAGAGACAGAGACAGAGACAGAGACAGAGACAGAGACACACACAGACACACAGACACACAGACACACAGACACCCAGACACACAGACACGCAGACACGCAGACACGCAGACACGCAGACACACAGACACACAGACACACAGACACACAGACACACAGACACACAGACACACACAGACACACACAGACACACACAGACACACACAGACACACACCGACACAGACAGACACAGACAGACACAGACAGACACAGACAGACACAGACAGACACAGACAGACACAGACAGACACAGACAGAGACAGACACAGACAGACACAGACAGACACAGACACACACACACACATACACACACAAAAACACATTTTATACTTTGCAACGTGCAGTAGCAACAGCGTAAGAACCCATATATATATATAAATAAATATGCAACTAGCTGGCAATCCCTGAACGGAAGGTGGGCAGGTGATGCCAGCAAGTGCCTCGATGTTCAAGGTCTGGGACCTGGCGGTCGCACCGTAGGGAAAGGAATGGGGTGAATACAGGGGCCTTAAAGGCAGAATGGTCTTTGAGGGTTGTTTTAGTATATGTATATAGAGACCCTGAGGCCCTGAGGGAATACTATAAGTAATTCTTCCGACCCCCATGTTCAGGGTCTAGGAGGTATACGGGGTCTTGCTACTGAGAGCTTCGGTGGTCAATGAATGGCTGTGCATGTGATGCCGATCACGAGTTGTTCCGGATGCTCGAACAGCGAGTTCTGAGGGTCCAGAACGAACACGGTGTGTGGCCTCGTTTGTTTAATGGAGCTACAAGCCATACAAAGACAATGGTATTATAGGCGCAAAGACGACACAGGGCTTCAGAGAAGAGCTCTTGTTGTGTAGAGACCTACGCACGAAGAAACAGGTATCTCACGAGTCTGAGGTGTAGGGGCAGAAGCCCCAACCTTGTTCCAAGCGAAACCCAAATCTTCATTTTGTTAGTAGTAACGCAGGCCTGTTGGCATGTACGAGTGCTGTGTGAGCTATGTTATATCGGACTTTATGGAAGAAAAATCACAGGCAAAGCCAGTTTGTATGGTTTAAGGTAGACCTTGAACCACATAAGGTTGTCCTAAATTAAATTCCCTCTGGGGCACACTTTTCAGTAGGTTGTCTTTCTTCAACACTGAACCCCAAACCCTAAACCCTAAACCCTACACCACTAAACCTAAGAAAGACAAATCCAAGCATTAAGGTGGCAGTCCCCTCGTTGGTGCGCACGTGGGCCTTTGGTCCTGCCGAGCGGAGCATCCGAATCAGTCAGCTGCCCCGGTCAGGGTTTAGGGTTTAGGGTTTAGGGTTTAGGGGTTTAGGGGTTTAGGGGTTTAGGGTCTAGGGGGATTTTCGAGAAGTGACCATGTGAATGTGCGCACGGGGGTTTGCCACAAAAGTTTCATTTGAGTTTGGGGTTCCTGGTCTGTGGGTGAGAGAGGGTTCGGGAACAGCTGTACGCCATGTAGTGCGCTCCATAAGGCCTCTAGAGTCAAAAGCAGTCAAACCCTACCCAAATTCTTGAAAGCCCCCCTTTGTGGTTGTGATGATTGCCTCCGCCGGTCCTCAGAGAGACAGACACAAGAGCTGAGTGATTGCGATAGAAGAAGCTAGGAAGCTAAGCCATGGCCTTGCCCATCCCTATGCGCTGCCTCGCTTGTGCGCTTGGCTTCGTGGCGGCCGAGATGCGGAGCGACGACTTCCCCCATTACGGCCTTGGCACCATCCCGGCTTGGCAGGACCTGGCCTCCCTTCGTGGTGCCCGCCCGGACGCCCAGGCGGGCGCTCATGCAAAGGTTGCCGGAAGGTATGTCATAAGTACTCAAAAAACGCGCGAGAGAGAGGGAGAGAGGAGGGAGAGCGAGAGAGCTGCTGAGGTTCTGGGCAAGGCGGAGTACCACCGCCAGCTGAGGTCCCTGGACATCCAGCAGCTTTACAGCGCCGTCGCCGCACTCATGGCCACCTCGAAGTCCTACTGGCCGGCAGATGGCCCGCAGGACGGTGATGTGGCCAGCTACGCGGGCCTCTTTGCCCGACTGGCCTGGCACTGCTCTGGGAGCTTCCGCATGATCAACGACACGCATGCGGCCGGGGGCTGCGAGGGCGCACGCCAGCGCCACTGGCCGGAGAACGAGTGGCGCGACAACACCAACTTGGACAAGGCCCGCGGGCTCTTGGCCGAAGTGAAGCTGCAGTTCGGCGACCAAGTGAGCTGGTCCGACCTCATGACCTTCGCAGGCACCGTGGCCATCAAAGCGAGTGGCGGACCAGCCAAGAAGTTCTGCTTCGGGCGCCTGGATGATGTGAATGGTGATCGTTCTCTCCCTTTGGGTGTCGAGGGCGTGGCCCAGTGCCGCGGCAGCAAGTTCTGCAAGTCCAACTTCGAGTGCCCCAACACCTTCCGTTGGTCCGAGCAGAACGACACGGATCATGCCCGCTGCAAGATCGAGCAGCCCGGCCGCCTCCAGGCCAGCCACTCCGTGGGCCTCATCTACGTCTACCCCGAGGGCCCGGAGCTCAAGACCAGCGCGGAGGACTACAAGGCCTACCGGGTGCACAACCGCTCGCCGAGGCTCAGTGCCCTGGCCTCTTGCCCGCAAAGATCCTTCCAGCGCCAGTTCGGTGCATGGAGCCTTAAAGTTTTCACACTCTCCTGCGGAAGAAAAAGGGCATGCATTCCAGTCACGCTGCCTTTGGCCCTTCCCAGGAGGTGCGGGACACCTTCCGGGATCGGATGGGCTGGACCGACCGTGAGACCGTCGCCCTCATCGGCGGCGGCCACACCTTGGGCCGGACCCACGGCAACTGCAGCTTGGAGGATCAGCGTCGCGTTTGCGGGAGGGGCACTCAAACCAAAAGCATGCAAAAGCACCATAAAGCACCCAGAACCAAGCTGCCGGTGACCAGTGATGATTGATGCACGGTCGTTGCACTTGTCGCGTGCTCTTGCCACTGTTCTCACGCGAATTGGGCTGCAGGGGAGTTCACGATTATAAGAGGTTACAGCAACTTTGCCAGACGTCTCGAGTTGATCCCATGCGCAACCGAACTTCGGATATATTGAGGGCTATTGGCAATTGGGGTTTAATTACCGGGTCCTGTATGCTGAACGCGCGCCCGGAGCACAGCAACGGCTGAGGCAACCTCACTGGCACCAAATGGGCGCAGACTCCGTACAACAATGTCGGACCTTACTTCGAGGCTGCAGCTGTTTCAGCCCTACCTAAACCCTAAACCCTAAACCCTAAACCCTAAACCCTAAACCCTAAACCCTGTTCAATGTGAAGTTTGTTTTTTTGTACTTTCGCCCGCGCATCTCAAAGAGTGGTTATGGCTGCTACCCAGCATAACGGATTCACAGCCGTACGTGTGAGCGCCTGACCTCTAAGCCGAGGCCCCTTCAAAAGAGAAGAGAGTGTTTGGAATGCTTGAAAAGCCCTAAACCCTATAGGCCCTAAACCCTTATAAACCCTGTGCCTATACCTTTGCCAACAGTTGGGAAGCATTTTACATTTTCAAGGGTAGGTAAACCCAATAAGGAACCGACAGTTAAAGTTTGAATATTATCCCAACCATGAACTAGTTTTAGGTAAACCCTAAACCCTAAACCGCATGACCGATTGCATAAACCCTAAACCCTAAACCCTAAACCCTAAACCCTAAACCCTAAACCCTAAACCCTAAACCCTAAACCCTAAACCCTAAACCCTAAACCCTAAACCCTAAACCCTAAACCGGATCAGGTTGTAGGCAGAGGGATCTCTTTGCAGGCCTCGGCGGGAAGCCTCCGCGGGCCCACGGATGGCACCTGTGGCACAGGGCCACAAGCCGCTGGCCCCGAGGATTTCGGGTTTAGGGTTTAGGGTTTGGGGTTTAGGGTTTAGGGGAACTATCCAACAGCTCCAAACAATTTAATAATCTCTATATCTTCCCCTTATGCGGAAGAACATGGTTATTTTTGGGAGTTAAGAAAATATTCGAATAGGGCCCACATGCATTGCCAGCGCTGACCGAGGGTGAGAGGGGTTCTTCAGGCTTGTAGGGATTTTGACTTGGCGCCGTAGAAGCCCTAAGGAGGGGGGATCCTTTTTTGCAAGCCCTCCATTCTTTACGCAGAGATTTTTTGTGTTTTGGGGGCAGGGGCCTCTTTTTTTTGCAGCTTGAGGCGGGCTTTGGCAAGCACACCGTGTCCTCGGGTTTCGAGGGTCCTTGGACACGCCGCTCGGCGGCACCGCGTATCGTCCATAGAATGGAGACGGGGCACTTCCATGTTAATGCACGTCGGGGTTTCCGTGCCTGCCTATTTTCGGTACTTCGGCATGGGACAGGGTGCGGCCGCCCAGGTACTTGGAGGTTCATTGTCAGTATGGTTTTAAGGCCCCAAATAAGGTGATAACCAGCTATAATTCTAGTTGCCCTATGCTTCTAACCCGACTTATAGCTAGCCACGAACCTTACCCTAAACCCTAAACCCCAAAACCCCAAACCCCAAACCCCAAACCCTAAACCCCAAACCCTAAACCCTAACGCTTACAGGCAGCCCGTCGCGCTGGAACTATGACTTCTTCGATGCCCTGCTGTCGGAGGAGTGGGTGCCTGCAAAGAGCCCGCAGCCTGCCATCGAATGTCCTGTCATGGCGCTACTAGATCAGACCATGCTACCGACATGTCATTTAGATGTGCATAGGTAAATTTAAATGAGCAACTAACGCAACAGATGAATATGTGTACATATATATATGTGTATATATACATGTCATCTGCATTATATTGTATGTATGCATGCATGCATGCATGTATATAGATATGTATGATGCATATGTATGTATCTGTATATATGTATGCAGGCCTGGAACACCTGCAGGCACCAGTTTAGGAACGGGCCTGACAAACGTGCATGGGCGGCATCCCCGTGTGCAGTGAACCCAGGTATGGCAATGACCAGTGGCACACCGGCAACCAGACCAGCAAGTTTGCCAAGACCATGCGCCTGACCTCGGACATCTCGCTCGTCGCGGACGAGACCTACCGCCCGATCGTCCAGGAGTACGCCGCCGACCATGCCCTGTTCGACGCGGACTTTGCTGATGCCTGGTTCAAGCTGGTGCACCGATCCGAGGATCACCCCCACAAGGACGACCTGGAGAAGGATGCTGGGGTCTGCACCGACTTTGGGTTCGTGACATCCCAGCATAACTTCCTGCCATGAGCAGCTTCGTCGCGAATTCGCGGAACTCTCTGGCGGATGCGCATAGCCGCAAGCCGGTCTACGCCTTACGCAATGCACAGCGCGCCTGAGACCAGGCGCGGATGTACAGATGACAGTTGAGGCATCGCGTTTGGCACGACTGTAACGAGCCGGTCCGCAGGAAGCAGCCGTAAGCTTCAAGAGTTCGCAGGTGCGAAAGCCCAAGCAGCCCAATGGCCCGTCAGGCACTTGCCCCCACCCGGTTGTGAAGTGTACAGCCCCGGGGGGTGCATGGGCCTCCTCGCCATAATTGTGGGCGCGACGTGGAATCAAAACATGAGGGAGACGCCAGGAACTCGGATAGTCCGTGTGCCAATATGCAGCTGATCACTGGGCCTGCGTCATCCCAGTGGACTGATTCTTTCACCGGCTCCCGAGGCAGTTTGCGTGGAGCGAGGAGGACGCAAGGACTCTGCTTGAAGGAGCCCAAACTAGTGGTCCTCAGAATATACCCGCAACTCATCGCCATTATCATCCGTAGTCCAAGGGGACGTGCAAAACACGTCAAAACACCCACCAAGTGACCCCTAATTTCCGGAAACCTCAGGTCTCTTCAGGCTTGAATGGCACGCCGAAATCATGCAGCATGCAATATTGGACTTGCAGGATACGATGGCTGACATATCCGGCACTCTGCCTCACCGCCACCCTGACAGGTCGGTCCGCCTGCTTCGGCTTAAGGTTTTGGGGTGCAGCACGCTAAGCTTGTGGGTTTTTAACATTTGAGGGATGTCAGCAGGGACCCCTACAAAGGAACCCTTCATCTTATCGCCCCCAATGTAACCCCTATATACACCTTATACAGTCCCTATATATGCCTAAGGTCCTAAGTAGCCCCTACCTTACCCCTCAGGTCCCTCCTCGCGAACTCCGTCACTCAAGGGTTTGCAGGCCGTTTACAGTAAACATCCCGTGGAGCTATACAGCTGGGGTAGTAGTATGGTTGGCAGCTCATGCTCGGCAACCGGGGATTGTGGGATGCTCTAGGGTTTCATTGAGTGCATTTACTGATATGTCACGTCGTGAGCGTGACCCTAAACCCTAAGCCCTCAAGACCGACAGGGCCACTGTTGCTTTGCGTGCAAGTTTTGAGTGCACCACATGCGAGATAGAAAGGCTAACTATCAGCCTTCCTCCTCAAAAGCCGCTCAAGCATCTCAGTCCCAGACAGTGAGGCTGTGACCACAGGCGTGGAGGTAGCATAGGTTTCGGGCAGCGATGCCCGAGCGATGCCCGCCGGCCAAACGGGCCAAACGACTCCCTGCTCCTCCTGCAGGAATATAGACCACGCCAGGATGGCATACCTTTGACATGCACAGTTTCCAGACACGCCATCACCTCTTTTGCAGGCCAGCCAATACAGCTGGACTTGTGCGATGCCCCTGCTGCCTCCTTCGATGCGGCTGCGCATGGTACGAAGGAGACCTGGGCATGTTTATCAACACTACATGGCTCCAAGGGTTCAGGTTCCCTTAGAAGCCCCATTAAACCAAACAGGGCACCCTTTTGAATCCTAAACCCTAGACCCTAAACCCTAAACCCTAAACCCTAAACCCTAATCTTGCGTCTAGCAAGAGTCAGAGGGGTTAGGTCGATGTAGGTGCGCCCCCCGTTGCAGACCATGTTGCTTTTCTCGAAGCCTCCTCGCTTTTTTGAAAGATCGCGCTCTCGCCTACTTGAAGGTTCGTGGGTACTTAGAAGTGCGGTTAGAAGTACCCTCAATAAGGTTGTGACCACACTACTTCTAACCCTACTTACAAGTACCCTCATGAACCTCCAAGTCTGCCAATTGCTTAAGAACCCCCCCCCCCCCAAAAAAAAAAAAAAAAGTATATATATGTATATATATATATTCTCCTACGAGGGTAATTATAAGGATTATTGTTCTTTTATTCTTTTGGGGCTCTTAAGCAAATAGTTGAAGTAGGCGTGTGGGCATGGCCCCGCTCACCGTCATCGAAACTGCCGTGACTGTCTGACGGGTGAAAGAAGCGAAACGGCCCCAAACCCTAAACCCTAAACCCTAAACCCGGCACAGATTGGACTTCCGGGCTCCCATGGCCCCTCACTGTTTGGGGTCTTACGTTGGCCTGACAGGTTGGTGAGCCTAGTTGTGAGGTTATCATAGGATCTTGTGGCGTTTTTTGTTGGCTTTTGCAGGTTATACTGGATGACTTCCATGTTCTCATGATTTTTGGGAATGTGGATCATCACAATGGAGTCTCTGTTTGTAGGGGGGTTAGGGTTATTGGGCTTAGGATTCATGTTGCTTCCGTAGTTCAGGGTTCCCTAGACCTACACCCAAAAGCCCCCAAAACCGGGTTAATTCGGGTGTTGCTGCTTTTGGTTCGGGCTTACCTCGCCCTCGCATCGGAGGCAATCTGCACCGCTGAAGGCATCTGCATGACCGTGGAGGTCCGGCAAGGGAGCTGTGCAGCTGATTTTGAGTGTCGTGTTGAAGATGTACTTCTGAATATCGACTCGGCGAAGGGTACGAAAGGGGTACATGAATGCTTGGGTCAAGGCCCAATGCTACAAGCCGCTATTCTCGTAGGCCCTTAGCCCCAACCCGCAAGTCCTAAACCCAGATTCCCTAAGCCTTGGGGTTTAGGGGTCGAAGCCCTAAACACTAAACCCTCAACCGTCAACCCTAAACCCTAAACCCTAAACCCTAAACCCTAAGTCCTCAACCCCGGGGCTGAAGAATTGCCCTGCCGTCTTTTGGAGGCATCTACTGCCCGAGATGGAACTCCAGTGGTTCTGGGGGAGATGGAAGCAGCCGATGCTTGGCGCTGGGAGCCATGAGTTTTTGCTTTGGGTTGTGTGAGTTTTGTGGGCTTGGGGTCGTTAAGGTTTCATGAGGGGTTTGCAGGATTTAGATGGAGAGGCGAGCACTCTGCTGCGCAAGATGCGTGCAGGTAGTACTCAGTACTCAGCGGCGTTCCTAGACTGCTGAAGAGGCGCAGCTCTTTCCGAGATTGGCTCATCATGACTGACAGTTATTCGTAATGCCTTCATGTACTCTGAGAATAGGAGGAGCAGAGAGCAGGAGGAGGAGGATGAGGAGGAGTTGGAGTGAGGCAACCCATACAAGATCCTGTTGCAGAGGTTCTAGTTTCACCAAGCGTGGCCATGTAGTTCCTTAAGGACCAGATGAAGCCCAAACGGGTTTGTGGTTCATATACCCTGTTTGGGATTATAGTAGTCTAGGGTACATGGTCCCAATGTTAGGGTTCATGTGGGGCGCAAGGTTGTGCATGACGTACGTATCTATGTTCTACATGACGTCACAATGCGCCGCAGTAGAACCACGGCGCCGGCACGGATATCAGCCCCTACTGTGGTGGTAACCTTCGTGAGACCAACCGGACATGTAGGATTTAGGGTCTCGGGCTGGGCTTTCACAGAAGTAGACGAACCCTAAACCCTAAATCCTAAACCCTAAACCCATAAACCCTAAACCCGAAACCCAAGGAGATACTACATCCTTCAGGAGCCTGGTTGCTGGCGGCCCAGCCACCAGTTGAGGGATATCAGCCGGAACCATCAACCGCTTCAGCGCTTTTTGAGACGTGGGCTTCTTGGGATGAGTCCGGGGTCCGCAACAAAGGGCTTTAAGAGTCCCTGGGTTTGGAGATGATGCCAGCAAGCCTAAGAACCAGGAAGCTCCGGCCCCCCCAAAAAGAGGTCGTTGGGGCCACTGGCTTGAGAGCTTTGTGGCTAAGTATTGTGGACTTGTATTCAAGATTGTATAGTTTAGGGTTTAGGGTTTAGGGTTTAGGGTTTAGGGTTTAGGGTTTAGGGTTTAGGGTTTAGGGTTTAGGGTTTAGGGTTTAGGGTTTAGGGTTTAGGGTTTAGGGTTTAGGGCTACTGTTGCTTTGTGCTGTATAAGGGCTTTTGGATGGCATCGGTCAAGGTGTCGTCAAGCCTCAGGGCCCTCGGGTAATCCGACCCTACCCAGCGCACCCAACTTCACCGACCATGATCTGGGAGCATGGGCTAGGCTATGAGGCCTTAAAAATCCCCCATCATGAACCCCATAAAAGGGCCTCTTTTAAGGGATTATATAATGAACCTCATAAAGGGCCCTTTTAAGGGATTAATAGGGTATCATAGCCCATCCTTGAGTGCCGCAGCTTAGGGCTTAGGAGGGCCGGTTGGTAAACGTCCGCTGGTTTTTTTTGAAACCGAGTAAGGACCGTAGACCCTGAGCAGGGTGCTCTCAACCGTAAGCCCTGACAGGCAGGGGCTGATAGCGAGATAAACCCCAACCACCCCCAGACCCTAAACTTGGGATATTCTCCCCCCCCTGATGCTAGCAGTCCTTCATAGGGATTCGAAAAGGGGCACTAGAGTCCCCATTAAGGACCGTTAGTATCAGGAGGAACATCCCAACCCTAAACCCTGAAAACCCTCTGGAGCCCCCGCCCTAAGCCCCCCCCCCCCCGCCTGTCTGAGGGCTTCCGGCCCAACAAAATAAACGCTCCAAAATCCGGAAGCCCTGGGGGGGGGGGAGGTTTTAAGTGGGGTCAATAAGCTCCTCCTTCAGCAGCCCCAAAATCCGGAAGCCCTTGAGGGGGGGCGGGGGGGCTTAGGGCGGGGTCCTTAAGCTCCTTAAGCAAACCCCTAAACCCGAAACCCTAAACCCCAAAACCCCTAAACCCCAAAACCCCTAAACCCCTAAACCCCTAAACCCCTAAACCCCTAAACCCCTAAACCCCTAAACCCCTAAACCCCTACCCCTAAACCCTAAAACCCTAAACCCCTAAACCCCTAAACCCGAAACCCGAAACCCCTAAACCCCTAAACCCCTAAACCCTAAACCCTAAACCCCCTACACCCCAAGAGGTTTCAGACTGGCCTTCCCTGTAGCGGGGCGACCTTCTGCGCCCCGCACCTCGGAGAGTCTTAGTTGTATCCTTCGGAGCTGAGGTTTAGGGTTTAGGGTTTAGGGTTTAGGGTTTAGGGTTTAGGGGTTAGGGTTTAGGGTTTAGGGTTTAGGGGTTAGGGTTTAGGGTTTATAGGGTTTAGGATTTAGGGTTTAGGGTTCAGGGTTTAGGGTTTAGGGCTTAGGGGTTAGGGTTTAGGGTTAGGGCTTATCGGGTTTAGCAATCAGGGTTGGAGCTGAAAGAGCTGGAAAAGGGCAGGGCTTGGGGAGTTCCAAGTGTCGGGTCGACGGGTTGAAGGTGTTTGATCTAGGGGCCTTGTTGAGGGGGTTTAGGGTTTAGGGTTTCGGGTTTTCCCATCATGGTGCCCTGAAGGATATGTTCTGAACTCACCTTTTCGCGGGTTCGGCTTTATAGGTTTTGGGGCTCAGGGCCACGTGTAGCAGCTGCGCAGTCTTGTTCTTGGTGCAGAGAGGATGAAGCGCCACCAACACTGCAAACCCTGAACCCTAAAACCGCGCACTCAGAGGCAGTGTCAGGAGATCAAGCATCCCGGGCAGCATCCCCACGCGCGTCAGCCCTCCTGAAACCCCCTAAGCCCCCATAATCCCTATAAATCCTAAGACCGGGTGTACCTAATGTACACCCAGACGCTGCAATCCATAATTCCCGCCACGTTCGAAAGAACCCCCAGCTGCAGAAAGGCTGGCGAACTGCTACGAGAACTGCCGCGTGAGCGGCCAGTACGACAAGGCCAAATTGCTAGCGAGTGTGGCTTTCGGGCTTGTGGTTGTTCAATATTAACCCTAAACTCTAAACCCTAAACCCTAAACCCTAAACCCTAAACCCTAAACCCTAAACCTTGTTTTAAGCTTTGGCCTTGACTAGTGTAGGAACGCGGCCAATGTTGGGTCCTCCGCCGCCACCCAAGACACCTACACATCCCATAAACATGGATTTCGAAGAAGGCCCCACGACAGTCAGGGGACCATCTACAAGCTGTCACATTGCGGTTTCCGAAAGGAGGAGTACCCTTTTTCGGGGGGTCCTATAATAAGGATTACAGTGGTTGGGGAATATTAGGGGTACCCCTATCTTGGGGAATGCCCAAATGGCTATAGGAAACTTGCCATGTCCTAGCGAGAGAGACCAAGACGGGGGTCCCCACTACTCGATGGGTGCTATGAAATTTCGGGGAGCAGATGAGAGGGAATCAGTGCCAAGAACATCGAGGTAAATGTGAAGGGACATTGGACAGGTTTCCTGCGCAAAGCTTAAATGCATGGTCTTCTGAGGCATGCCTTGTCTTAATGGTTAGGACCCCTCATAAGTCTTGCCTATTGAGAAACGAGCGCAGCCTTATTCTTATGCAGGTAGAGAACCCACGCAGAGCAAGACCACTTGAACTTTTCGCCCCAAAAGCACTGCAAGGCCACTTCAAAACCACTCGAAGCGCACTCCAAACGGAACTCCGGGAGCACTACCCAGTTCTCCTCTTCACAGCACTTCATGAGGAGCATGCGCACAAGACGGGGGCGGGAGCTCCATGCCTATAGCGCTGTGAAACACAAATCCCCTTAGCACGGATGCACACAGCGAATCCGTGCACCTGCCCGAGCGGCAAGAAATTAGTACGCCCCTGCCACATTTTGATGACACGATGCGACGCAAGCTTCAAGATGTTCACGCACCTGGGCGAGTGCGATTAAGACCAGGGATTGCACGCAGGCGAGAGTGCGATTCCTCACGTTGGCAATGCCAAATCTTTTTTTTTTGACATCATACCTGGAAACCCTAAACCCTAAACCCTAAACCCTAAACCATGTTGCCACGCTCTTGGGGGAGACTTAGAGTACCCATGCAACCTCGGGTTGGACAGCCGTTGTATCAGTAGGGCACTGGACAACCTTGCGATCTTCTGACAGTACATTGCCATTTTCATTGCAGGTGTTCACTCCCTGCTGCTCAACACGTAGTTCATCAAGCACCCTACACAAGACCGTGACAAGACCCGAAACTGCTTTGACCCGAGCTGTCAAGGCATGCTGGCAGACTTCTTGTTGCCCCAGCCACGCCCATAGTTTCGACAGCAGCCATGCTGAGCAACAGCAGTAGTTGCTACAGAACATGCAAGAAAGAGCAAGCGAGGTCTAGCTGAGGAGATAGTAGCCAGATGTAGCCAGTTCGATCTAGAGATGCCCCCGCTGAGTTACGATTTTCCGCTTTGGGCTCCGGCAAATGGCACTGTTTAGGTGGGACGGAGACCGTGTACAACAGCTCCAACTTCAACTACTATGCGCGCCCCTTAGTGCAGCACGGTTTCAATTGGAATCCTCAGCCGGCTGATCTCAATCAAGTTGTTCAGGTGCCTTTTGGGGCTCTCAATGGTAGTCTACTCCTCATAGCTTCCGGCATTAGTAAGAACAAAACATCCGGTCGCCGAAGTGGCTCAGTGGCTGGGTCGCGAAACCTCGGTCTGCTGGGAAATCTCGTCGGTTGTCCTCCCAATGCAGACTTATATTTGCTGCTTCTTAGAAGGAAATGGGGGAATGAGGTACCCTACAGCATCCCTGATTTTTTGGGGGAGATAGGGTACCTCATTCCCTGATTCCCCAGAGGGTATCTTGTGAAATGCCGCGACTTCGACTCACTAAGGTAAGTGTGGGGTAGAGCTCATGTGAGCACTGCTCTTGAGGGACCCCGAAAGCGTAAGCTTTTGCCAGCCCTTGAGATCCAAACAGCACTATCGAAATCACCGCTCAACAAGGAAACAAATGAGTGAACCCCGATGCAGGAACCAAACCCTGAACCCGAGAACCTAGACCCTAGCCCTAAACCCCAAACCCCAAACCCCAAACCCCAAACCCCACCATTTACACCCCTAAAAGCTGCACCTTTAAACCTCACATCGGGAAGCCCAAACTCCAAGCCTCTGAAACCCCAACGTTCCAAAGCCCCACACCCCGAAACCCTCCTAACCCTCCCTTCCCCCGGACCTCCCCCCAAACCTCCCCCATCAGTCAGCACAGGCCTGCACCTTCACAGGTAACCCCTGCATGGACCGGCTGGAGACTTACAGGGGGTTTGGGGTTTAGGCCTTCCGGAGGTCTAAGCAAGTTACGCCATGCCCTGACTGAAGATTTAGATGTATCTTGCCATGAACCTAAAAAGTCAAAGTGCGGATTGGATTGGGGTTTGAGGTTGTGCTCAGTTTAGTTCCATGACCACGATTATGCGCGAGGTCAGACACTCTTTTCATTCAGGGCACGCCCGTTCTTTGCCATAGTGAGCGGTAACATTTTGCATTTTTTGGGGTACTGTAGCACAAAAAGGATTAGAAATTGATTTCTTTCAGACTATCCGAAGCATGAATCAGTGTTGATAAGGTTGCCTGGAAAGCCAAGTTGAAGGGCAGCTCGGTGGCCCCAACAAAGCAGCAGAAGGCCCGAAGACCTTGAACCCTGATGCCTGTGACCCCCTTTCTCCTACAGCTTTATGGGTTATGCCTACGAACTAAGGGGAAGCTGCAGGTAAGTCGAGTCGCAGGTGAAGCTTCGCGCCCGAAACTCCCACCATCGCAATCCTAACGAAGGCCTGTTCTGGAGGGTTTTCTGGGGCCACGGGAAGCTCCTGGAAGCCTCCCCGCTTTGCTCCTTGGAGGCCCCAAATGAAGGCCCAGGTAAGGAAAAATGCCTTGCAAGTTAGATGAGCTTAGGCCTAAACCCGAAGACGATTAGGTTAGCCCGGGGTGGGCTGCTACAGCTTCTGCGGAAAACCCTCCTAAACCCTATACAACCCTAAACCTGGAACAGAAAAGCACCTTATGCACGCCGCACCCAGGTGCAATGGGTGGTTCCAATCCCGCCGCTGCGCAGACAGCCAGTGCCTCGGGAAAGGGAGCCAGACGAAAAACAAGAATAGGACTAACATTTTTCGTACCTTCAGAACCCAAAACCTGCTTTCTTTGTAGGTTACCTAAGAAATACTAAGAATCCGATAAAGTTTGTTTTTGTTTTATAGTAGTAGCCTACAAAAAGGTAGGTTCTCTTCAGGTCGGGCTTAGGTTGGTTTGGGTGTTCTTCTCCTAAGGCCTCTTTTTCGGATTTTTGTTTCAGAGTTTGGTTGCTTAAGCTTCCATGGTGACATGCCCACGTGCCGACGACCAAGTCGGCTCTCTGCCGCCGAGCTAACGCATTCTTCCGAAGCCCCAGAGTTGTAAACGAACCGCTATGAAACCTCCAATGCAATTTAGGGTTCAGGGTTGGGGGTTTAGGGTTTAGGGTTTAGGGTTTAGGGTTTAGGGACTCTTACTAAACCCTAAGAGAGCACCGGAACCCCCAAACTGGACTGTGGACTGGGTGAAGTTGAGAGGCAGCCAATACTGCCCGCTGCTGGCGAACTGCTACCAGGTGCCGAGTCCTAAGCCAGGGTTTATCTTTTTATCCCTGCCTTAAGAACCCACAACCTACTTGCTTGCTCAATAACCCTACCTTAAGAACCCAGAACCTACGTGTTTGCAGGGCTTGTGACTCTAAAGGCCGCGTATAGAATTCTTAGGTAACTACACCAAAGTCGGTTTTGGGGTTCTGAAAGGTGGAGAGACCCTTGCCGGACCCTTTTCCCTCAGGACGAACAGAGTGTACATAAAACACGCTCCTAGGGTCGGGAGATTTTTAGGCTTCATAGGGGTTTGGGGCTCACAGGCGTACCGTACAGGCTTAGGGGCCATGGGGTGCTTGGAAGCTTCCTAAGGTTAGCGGCTGGCTTCCCTAAACCCCAGGGTCAGATGTTTGCCCTGCTCTCGAACCTAACGTACGGCTCCTGACTGGGTGCCCACAAGGGAATAAATGTATCAGGGTTTGGAATGTATCCCCAAACCCTGTAAACCCTACCCTGAAGTTTGGTCTCTTGCGATGTAGCGACTGGAGTCGTGCTGTCTAGAGTTTCGGGCTTAGGTCGAAGGGTTCTCGTGACCCTCAACACTCAACACACCCTAGACCCCCCAACCCGAAAGCGTGATCCGCCCGAGTTCCAAGAATCCACCCAAAAAGTCTGAACATCAAGCCCTAGGCCCTAAGCCCTAAACCCTCAACCCTAAACCCTAAACCCTAGCCCTAAACCCTAAACCCTAATCTGAGTGGAGGCCTGCTGGTACTCCCACAAAGTGGGGAGCTGCCAAGACTACAAGGGCTGTCCGGCGTCGGGGCCTCGGTCTGCTTAAAGTTGCGCGCCTGTCGGTTTGGGGTTTAGGGTTTAGGGTTTAGGGTTTAGGGTTTAGGGTTTAGGGTTTGTAAGGGTTCAGGGTTTAGGGTTTAGGGTTGTTCTGCAAAGGGCCAAGGGTTCATCGGTGGACCCTAAGCCCTAAACCCCTTTGGGGTTTGGGGATGTTTGTGCTTCCTCTGAATGCTGCACCCTCAACAGCTCGTTCCAGAGGTTTAGGGGTTTGGGGTTTTAGGGGTTTACAGGTTTACGGGGTTACGGGGTTTAGAGGGGTTCAGGGGTCTAAGGGTTTGGGGGTTTAGGAAGGCATGTTTCGGCTTGGGGCGCTTGATTGGCTTGGCCCTGCTTGGGCTAAGCTTTGTTTTGTTTTCCGGAGAGGGCTGCTTTTGGGGTTTTAGAGGAGGCCTCTACTGGTGTAGAAATGAGGAGTTGAGGGTTTAGGGCGCTATGTGCCAGGTTCTTCTGAATTCTTGGAAACCAGGGCTTTCTAATCTTTTTGGGGCTGCCGATGCAGGCTGTTTCGGGATAGTGCTCCTGGGCTCGGTGAACTTTGACGCCCTAAGCCCTAAACCCTAGACCCTTCTGGAGCAAGAGGGCACTAAAATAAACAAAGATTGTTTTGTGTGATAAACCCTAAACCCTATAGTAAGTATATGCATATGCATATACATATGTATATATATGTATATATATATATGTGTGTACATCTATATATACATATTAATTTATGTGTGTACATATAGATAGATATATATATATATACATACTGTAAACCCTAAGCCCGCAACCTGAAGCCTGTTTCCGAAGTTGAGGCCCGCACCCTAAGCCTGGTTTTCCAGCTGCGTGGTTGAGGGTTTGGGGGTTTAAAGCGGTCAGGGGTTCGAAGGGTTTAGGGAAAAGTTTAGCGGTTTAAGAGGTTTAGGGGTTTAAATGATTTAGGGGTTGAGGCCTTCAAAAGATTTAGGGGTTTAAATGGCTTTAGAGGTTTAAAGGGTTTGTAGGTTGACGTGATTGAACGCAGAAGGCTTCCAGCCTGTTCCGCTTCCACCCTAAACCCCTACAACGAAGCACAGAGAGCTCTGCAGGGCAAATGCAGTGCTGAAGCAGGCTTCTGGGTTTTGGGCTCAGGATGTCTTGGTTTCGGGTTTAGGGTCGGGATGTTCCCCCATATCCTACCAGTCCAATATAGGGATTATACTAGGGGGGGTCCTATAATCCCTATTAAGGACTGTTTGTACTAGGGGGGTCCTATAATCCCTATTAAGGACTGTTAGTCTAAGGGGGAACATTCCCAAGCTTCGGGTTGAGGTAGGGTTCGTGTCTCTCTCAATCCCCTGAACTCCGAGGGGGGCCCACGCCTACAACGACTCCTCTGCTTCCTTCTACGCGCTGGACTGAAAGCTTTGCAGTGGCATCGGGCCCTAAACCCTAAACCCTCAACCCTAAACCCTAAACCCTCAACCCTAAACCCTAATGATACAGCGCATGTCTTGCAAGCGGTTGCAGGTTGAGGGTCTAAGGTTATAAGCTTTGGGGCTTGAGTTGGGATGCTCGCTCTTATCCTAACAGTCCTTAATCGAGATCATAACAGCGGGTACTATCATCCCCATCAAGGACTGTTAGTATAAGGGGGAACATCCCAGGGTTTGGGCTTTAGGTTTAAGGCTGTTGGTGGAAGTGGATGCTAGTTTGCGGTGTCTCCGCCCTAGGCAGGACAGGTGGATTCCATTAGGTTGAGGGTTTTAGGGCTTGAGGGTTTTTGAGGTCAAGGTTTCCCTGAACCCTGAGCCTCGGGGTTGGGGGCAGCGATGTTCTGCCAAGAAGCAGTGCCTACAATCTAGGGTTTAGGGTTTAGAGTTTAGGGTTTAGGGTGGCGCCGTTGCTTCTGGTTCAGAAGAAGACGCGGCATCACCAATCATCCGTCATACGTCTGCCGAAAAGTCATCGTTGTGGACAAAACCTTCTGCTCTCTAAACGCTGAACAGTCCTTAATCGGATTATAATAGTGGGTACTATAATCCCGACTAGGACTGTCAGTATAAGGGGGGACATCCCAGCAACAAACCCTTAACACCACAAACCGATCGCTTCTCAAAGCCACAACCCAAAGGTTCTACAAAGACAGGCCCTCGTATGGCCAGGGAGCCTGTCACGCGAGTTTTTTTTGTTTGGGGGGGGGGGGGTGGTAGGGTGTAGGGTGTAGGGTGTAGGGTGTAGGGTGTAGGGTGCCAGGTTCCAGGGTTGAGGGCTTTGGGGCTTAGGGTTTAGGGTTCCGGGTTGATAGGGCTTATGGGGCTTGCGGGGTGCGCCCTGGTACCACCCCAGACGAACCCGAGAGTGGCAGCACCAGGAGCATTCGGAGAACAGCTGCCTGATGCGCAGGGGGGCTGAGATTCATCTTCGTTAGGGCTTCGCGGGGTTTAGGAACCCCAACCCTAAACCCTAACCCTAATCTTCATCTTCGTTAGGGCTTCGTGGGGTGTAGGAACCCTAACCCCCAACCCTAAACCCAGGGACCCTAATCCTTGAACCCTGTCTAGTCTTCGGGTAGACCTTAAACCTCGACATCTCTCACCCCTAAACCCTGACCCCTTTCGTGTCTTGTGGAGTTTCAAGCTGGGCATTTAAGGTTCCAGCAAACTCTAAACCCCAACTCCTAAGCGCCGGCTTTGACCCACAAGGTCCGACTAACATGATGGTGCTTGCACAACCCTCAGCCCTGAACCCCATAAACTTTTGTCTGCGGGCTCTTAACCTCAGGGTCTTTGTTGAGGTCGAACGTATAAACTGGCCTGTGGCTAGCTCTTCAGGGGGTGCGGTCGTGGCTTAAGCAGTGCTGTGGCCTCAGTTGCTTGTGCGATAGCTTGCTGACATTATTAATGTCGGGGTTGATTTTTGCGGTTTAGTCCGACATGCAGGGGCTTGGTGGGTGGAGTTGTAAGGTTGCATGTTCGGCTCCTGTCTGGTGCACATATCACATGCCTGCAAGCCAGACCATTTTCACCCTCCTCATGATTATGCCCGCAGGCCTTTCCTTCTGCACCCGCATCTTCCCATGCCTCCACCCTAAACCCTAAAACCCCCTTGACATGCCCTAGACCGTCAGAACTAAACCTTTAAGCTTTATTCTCAATATGACTGTTTTTTCATGGAAAAATGTTGACTTGGCAGTCAACTGAAACCCCACATTAATATAACAAAAACCAAATCCCGAGGAACGGGGTTTGGTCTCGGGGTTCCCTATCCTAAGGCCAGCCCTTTCAAAAACAGCCCTCCCCCCCCCCCCCCCCCCCCCCCCCAACCCCAACAAGACTACGGCCCCTTTGAACCCCCAACCCGCAATGCAACTTTCATCTTTCGGCCCCCTGGCGGAGAGATTGAATCAATCAAGGGGGGAGGGTTTAGGAATGGCAAGTGATCATTATTAGTTCAGTTCTTAACTCCATTATATAAATTGAATGATACTAAATTACTTAACGAAATTAAAGTTGATAACTTGATAGTACCATTAAGTTTATCAACATTCTTCAACCTAGGCTGCAACTTGGAGCATGCGCCCTTCGAGTATTGCAGTGGCCGCTCCTTCTGCCCGCAGCTTGCCCGCTGCTACGAGGACGTTTTTCGCCCTTCAGACTTCCAACTTCGTCCTTAACCTAGGTCGGGCCCTCGCGACATCTAGCGTTTTCCCTTTATCTTGGGTTTCAGAGGATCAGAGGGTCTTAAGGGCCATCCTAGGAAAATTAACTGAACCCTACAAGGCCAACGTTTGAGCCCGAGAAACCCCCCAGAAACCCACGTTATCACCGACCCAACTCAGGCGCTTACCCTAAACCCTAAACCCTAAACCCAAGAAACCCAAGAAACCCAAGAAACCCCCCCAGAAACCCCCGACCCAACTCAGGCGCTTGGGGTTTCAAGCTTGTCGTTGGGCACTATCAGGGCTGCAGTCCCTCACTGGCTCCTTAGGCCTTGACAGGGCCTTAAACCCCAAACCGTACAGCCTACACCCTAAACCCACTAAACCCTAAGATTTTGGGGTTCAGGGCTGGGTGTCTTAAGGCTTCGGGCTGAAATCATGAGGATTCACCCTAAACCCTAAACCCTAGACCCTAAACCCTAAACCCTAAACCTTAAACCCTAAACCCTCCCAGCCTCGGGGCGTGAGAGGACTGCTTCGGCCGCGGCCGCGCGCCGGCGCGATGTCCGGGAGACTGCTGCCCTGTGCTGCAGCAAGGAGGCCGACTCTTTGCGTCTGTAGGTTTTTTTTTGCTCATACATACATAAACAAGTAGAGAAGTACATGTGTGTATATATATACATATATATATATATGGTCACCCCCCCCCCAATGGACCCACCGCGGGCCTTGATCTTTGCAAAAGTACCGCAAATACCGATAAAACCTCTGCTGTCTGGTGATTTTCCGGTGACCGGATTTTTGACTGTATTCCTTAATTCACCCTCTCACACACACACACACGGAGGTTTTTCTTTCTGTTGGCTTTTGTTTATAATTTAAGATCTAGGCATTTAAACCTAAGCCTGCAAAAAAAACCCTTAACCTTAAACCCTGTAGGGTTAAGGTTTAAAGGTTAAGGGTTTAAGATTTAGGCATTTGAACCTATGCCGGTAATTAAAGCTAAGCCCTTAACCTTTAAATTCTATAGGGTTAAGATTTTTACAGGTTTAGGCTTTAAGATGTAGGCATTCAAACCTAAGCCTGCAACTAATTTTAAACCCTTAACCTTTAAACCCTGTAGGGTTAAAGTTTAAAGGCTTCGGGTTTAATATTTAGCAATTTAAACCTGTAGCCAAGCCCTTAACCTTTAAACCCTATAGGGTTAAGATTTTTAAAGGTTTAGGATATAAGATGTAGGCATTTAAACCTAATTAAGCCTGCAACTAATTGTAAACCCTTAACCTTTAAACCCTGTTGGGCTAAGGTTTAAAGGTTTCGGGCTTAAGATTTAGGCATTTAAACCTATTCCGGCAATTAACGCTAAGCCTTTAACCTTTAAACCCTATAGGGTTAAGATATGTAAAGGTTTAGGGTTTAAGTTTAAGGTTTAGGTATTTAGACCTATGCCGGCAGTTCATATTGAACCCTTAACCTTAAACCCCATAGGGATGAGATTTAAAGGTTTAGGATTCTTTACTTAGACATTTAAATCTAAGCTGACGATTCGACCTAAACCCTTAACCTTTAAACCCTATAGGGTGAAGGTTTAAAGTTTTAGGGTTTAAGACTCAGACATTTAAACCTAAGACAGCGATTAACACTAAGCCCTTAACCTTTAAACCCTATAGGGTTAAGGTTTAAAGAATTGGGGTTTAAGATTCAGGCATTTAAAGCTAAGTATGTAATCAATTTGTCACCCTTAACACCTCTAAACTCTGTAGTGTGAAGGTTTCAAGCCTTAGGGCTTAAAATTTAGACATTAAAACCTAAGCCCATAGAGTTTAAACCTTAAGGGTTTAAGGTTTACGCATCTATTCCTTAACCCTAAACCCTCTAGGGTCAGGACCCTAAAGCCCTCGGCAATCAAGCCTAAACCCTTGACCTTCAAACCCCATAGGATGAAGGTTTAAAGGTTTGGGGTTTAAGACTTAGGCATTTAAACCTAGAGGGCATTTAAGCCTTAGCCCTAAACCCTTTAGGGTCAGAACCTTAGCACCCTATAGGGGTCTAGCACGTTCAAAGGCTTGAACCCTACAGGCGCTGAAGGTATACATGTCCTATCGGTTTTTAAACCATTACACCGTGTAAGAAGGTTTCGGGTCTTTTCGGGGTCTATCTCTAAATTTCTCACGGGGTTAACCCTGCAGGGTTTAAAGTTAAAGGTTTAGGGTTAAAGGTTAAGGCAATACCTATAGGATTAGAACCTTATAACCCTGTAGTGCACGAGGCTTAAACCCCTAAAACTTAACCATCTTTTTCTCGAGAAAACCAAAAAAACCAAAAACACCAAAAAAAACATCTTTTCCAAAACTATGGGGCTGGGGCCTCCAAAAGATGGTTTTTTTGGTTTTCTCGAGAAAAAGATGGTTTTTTTGGTTCGAAACCATCTTTTTCTCGAGAAAAAGATGGTTTTTGAGCAGCCGCTCTTCGAAAAACCATCTTTTTCTCGAGAAAAAGATGGTTTTTGGAGATCTTGTCCTGGAAAAACCATCTTTTTCTCGAGAAAAAGATGGTTTCCGGAGGTCTTGTCCTGGAAAAACCATCTTTTTCTCGAGAAAAAGATGGTTTTTGGAGGTCTTCTCCTGGTAAAACCATCTTTTTCTCGAGAAAAAAATTTTTCGAAGGGTGGTTGCTCAAAACCATCTTTTTCTCGAAAAAAATGGTTTCGAACCAAAACACCATCTTTTTCTCGAGAAAACCAAAAAACCAAAAAACCCAAAAAAAACATCTTTTCCAAAACTATGGGGCTGGGGCCTCCAAAAGATGGTTTTTTTGGTTTTCTCGAGAAAAAAAGATGGTTTTTTTGGTTCGAAACCATCTTTTTCTCGAGAAAAAGATGGTTTTTGATCAGCCGCTCTTCGAAAAACCATCTTTTTCTCGAGAAAAAGATGGTTTTTGGAGATCTTGTCCTGGAAAAACCATCTTTTTCTCGAGAAAAAGATGGTTTTTGGAGGTCTTGTCCTGGTAAAACCATCTTTTTCTCGAGAAAAAGATGGTTTTTGGAGGTCTTGTCCTGGTAAAACCATCTTTTTCTCGAGAAAAAGATGGTTTTTCGAAGAGCGGCTTCTCAAAAACCATCTTTTTCTCGAGAAAAAGATGGTTTCGAACCAAAACCATCTTTTTCTCGAGAAAACCAAAAAAACCATCTTTTGGAGGCCCCAGCCCCATAGTTTTGGAAAAGATGGTTTTTTTGGTTTTTTTGGTTTTGTTGGTTTTTTTGGTTTTTTGGATTTTTTTGGTTTGTTGGTTTTTGTTAGTTTCTTGTTTTGTTGTTTTTTGCCTTGATCTGGCTAGGACTCGGCTGCCATCCGCGGTGGGTCCATTGGGGGGGGGGGTGAGCTATATATATATATATTTGCCGACTTGGGGTCCGAAGTCTACACTCAAGGGACGAAAGGAGGAACCCTTATATGGGACCTTGGGGGTTATTTGGGGGATCTTTAGGGGCTACCTAGGTTCATAGGGACTATAAGGTATATATATATATATATACGTATATATATATATGAGATATATATATATGTATATGTATATATATATATATATGAGTTATATAGGGGAATAAGATTAAGGGTCCCTTTTAGGGGTCCCTCCTTATACCCCTTAATACACCCACTTTGGGCGAAGTGGGAGTTCGCACTGCCCCAGGCCAACCTGGTAGAGAGCCCAGCTACGACGACCCTGGCGGGGGCTACTACCGCTGCGAGACCGGCAACTCTTGTCTGGACCGGGGGAAGTTGTCAGGGCTCCTGGCCCTAAACCCTAAACCCTAAACCCTAAACCCTAAACCCTAAACCCTAAACTCCTAAACCCTAAACCCTAAACCCTAAACCCCTGATGGCTTCACGCTTCAGGGTGCCATGTTTCGGGCTTCCTCGGCCCGAAAGGGCTACTTCAGCCCCCCCAAAGCCCCAGTTGGGGAATGTAGGGTTTGGGGTTTAGGGTGTAGGGTTTAGGGACCCCGAAAACTCGAATTGAAGCCCCCTAAACCCTAAACCCGAAACCCTACACCCTAGACACTAAACCCTAAACCCGAAACCCTGAACGTTTCAGGGGTTTTTCGGCTCGGCCAGAACCCTCGAGCTCCTGAAGACCTTCTAAACTGACAGATCTCTCAGGCCAGAAGAAGCCATTGCAATTGTGCCCCCCCACCCTAAACCCAAAGAGCCCAACACGTTTTAATTCATAACAAGGATCCCTTGATAATTGAAGCAAAACTCCTTAATTAAGGGGTACCGGGCTCTCTGGGAACCTTGAACCCTGAATCCGAAACCCTACAAACCCTAAACTGAACCCTAAGCCTGCAACCACCCCAAATCTCCCCTCCCTAGGCTGTAAGCCTTGCAACCCTGGCATTCCTGCAGAAGTTGCTGGCTTAGGGATGGTTAGGTAGGTTTTAGGGTTTGCGGTGTAGGGCTTAAGGTCCCACTGGCATGACCCTCACGACCACCATCGACTGCAATAGGCATCGAGTACGGCTTCGGGCTCCCTATGCTCACAGACCCTTCAACACCCCAAAGCCCCAACCCTAAACCCTAAACCCTAAAACCTAAGCAATCTTTGCTACCTAAACCCGTATAAGCCCTGATCCCTGTACACCCTGTAGACCCCTGTCGCGCGCCATGGCGTGCGCGAGTGGTGCCACGGCTTCGCAGCCTCCCAGGCCCCCTGGTCTACATAGAGTTTAGGGTTTAGGGTTTAGGGCAAGTTCAGGGTTTAGGGTTTAGGGTTTAGGGTTTAGGGTTTAGGGGCACCCCAAAGACCCTTAAAAAGACCCTGTACGCCCGAAGATGGAGCCTTGGAGGCTTCCTGGCCCTCAAGCGCCCTCTGGACCCCAACGGCCCCAACCCTAAAAGCCGAAAACCCCGAACAACGAGCCGTATGCCTCAAAGGGTGTAGGGTGTTAAGTGTTTTTCAGGGCTGTTAGGGCTTTTAGGGTTTTTGTTTAGTTTGTTGTTTTTAGGGTTTTGAGGTTTTGGGGTTTCGGGGCTTCGAGCCCAGCAGCCCACAAAAGTACAGACCATGGGGGTGTGGCCAGGCACGCTGGCCGGCGCTGGCCGGCTCTTCTCGCCGCTCCATGGCCGATTTGGGTTGAGGGCTTCGGGGTTTAGGGATCAAGGGTTTGGGGATTACCCCTGTCGGGTTTTAGGGGTTTAGGGTTAGCTCCCCCTCCCAAACCCGAAACCCTAAACCCTAAACCCCAAACCCCAAACCCCAAACCCCAAGGCCTTGCAAGAAGACACACCCAGGCCTGCACGGCAGCCTGCGGCGCCACCTTCGCCCTTCCAGCGCCCAGGGCCGCGCGTCGCGAAGATGCGGAGGCGGAGGCGCAATAAGTCGTGGCCGGGTTTACTAATTACTATATTTTGGGTTTAGGGTTTAGGGCAACTGTACTACTGTTGGGTTGGGGGTTTAGGGCTACTGTACTATATTTAGGGTTTAGGGTTTAGGGCTGTATTTTGGGTTTAGGGTTTAGAGCTACTGTACAATATTTTGGGTTTAGGGCCGTTTAGGGTTTAGAGCTACAGTACTAGATTTTGGGTCTAGGGTTTAGGGCTACTGCTTATGAACCTGCCAGAGCAATAAACAATATTCTTCCTCATAAGGGTAGTATAAGTATTATTACCTTCAAGTAGATTAGGGCTTAGGGCTTAGGGCTTAGGGCTTGCAAGCTTATAGGGCTTAGGGCTTCGGGCTTAGCGCCGCTTCGTGGGGTTTGGAGGACTTGCTGGGTTTAGAGGATGTGGGACCTGCCTGACCCCGCCCCTGACTCGAACATGGGGGGGGGGGGGGGGGGGAAAGGGGTCAGGGTTCAGGGTTGAAGGTTTAGGGTTCAGGATTTAGGGTGTTGGCTTTAAAAGTGCGGGACTTGGACATGTTTCTCTAAAATCGGTCAGTAGGCACCTCGAAGGGGGGGTACCTTGTACCCCTGTTTTGGGGACATACACATGTCATGATCGCCAGTGCTCCCATTTCCAGAACCTCAACCTTTCATGGAAACCGTCCCGCCCTAAAGGGCTCAACCCTAGACTCTAAGCCCTCCACCCTCCGCAACCCGCCGCCCCCCCTTCTTCCCGCCCCCCCCCCCCCCCCCCCAAAAAAAAAAAAAAAAAGGAAACAAACACATTAAAAAATATATAATCCCCGAAGCTCTTAAGGGCCTTGAAGCCCTAACCCCAACCCCTCAAGCGTGCGTCATCCAAGCTGCATAGGCGCTGCGCCGCACTCTGGAGGAGACTTATACCTCTGCTGTGCTTAATCAAGGACCCGAAGTAGACCCTTATTCCCTTTGTTTTAGGGTTTAGGTTCCCGTGCAAGCTCCTTTAAAACCAAAACGGGTGCCCGTTGTTTATTCCAGGTTTCTCTTGGGTCTAGTTAGGGTTTAGCGTTGGGCTCCGGGGCGTCAGGCTTCAGGAGTTAGGTTTTAAGGTTTCTAGGGTCCATAGCATGTAATTCGGGCTGCCTGGGGCCTAAGAGAGTTCAGGATGCTCTCAGGATTTACGGGATTCCTGGGAGGTCAAGGTTGATAGGATATCCTAAGTATTATTTGAAAAAGAATATTAGGGAAGCGAAGTTCTCGGCCCGGACCCTAAAAGCCGTCCCCGCGAACGTTTGAGGAGGACGTGCTGGAGCTCCGCCTGCAGGCTCAGGAGAAGTTTGGTTCCTTGGCGTTCCTCCCCTTCCGTAAGGTTCCCGGTTTAGTCACCAGAACAGGTCGCGTTGGCTTCAGTGGCCCCAGCCTGTTCTTTCCACCATATCTCCACACTGCACTCCTACACAAGCCCTAAGATGGGGTGATGGTAGAGTGCGAGGGCTAGTCAGGGTGTCCTTCATGTGACCCGAAACCCTAAACCCTAAACCCTGAACCCTGAACCCTAAACCCTAACCCTAAACCCTAAACCCCAACCCTCAACCCGAAACGGCCCCCGAGGCTTGCCGTACCTCCCGGAGCCTGGCTTGCTGCCGACCTGGGCGGAGCCGATTCTGGTCCGGTCCCTGGCAATAGAGGCCGACGAAGTACCATTGGTTTACAGAAAGGTTTCAGTTTAGGGTTTAGGGTTTAGGGTTTAGGGTTCCGTTATAATGCTATGTCGGCATTGTAAACTTCCCAAAGCACCCATTCGAATTCACCAGGTCCATCGAAGCAAGATTGCCTCCTGTGTTTGCGGACATCGTGGTTCTTGGTCCTGGCAATATTGAAATTCAACATTCTCCCCCCCCCCCCCCGGAAGCAAGATTGCTCGAACATGTTTTGCCGGCCATATTCTTGTTCCTGGATTCAAATGAACCACCTCATGCCTTAAACCCGCCATCCCCTCTCTCTGACCTCCAAACCCCAAGCCCAAGTCTCACGGCTTCACCCCCAGACCTCCAGAGCTCATGGTTTAGGCTTTAGGGTGTAGGGTGTGGGGTTTAGGGTTTGGGGTTTAGGGTTTAGGGTTAGGGCTCAGGGTTTCTCCGGGTGACATCATAAAACCCACACGCCTTTAATAAGGTCGTGCCCCACAAGATCCGACGAGACATCGAGCAGCTGGACTACCTTGCCTCCACAGGCTCCACCACTCTCCACAAGGGTTGGGTGTCCGAAAATGGGAATACCCTTTTTGGGGGGGTCTCTTTCAGGGGATTCTCTTCTAGTTACGGGTATAAAAAGGGTGCCCCTAGTGTGGGAAATAACCACAAGGATTTTCGAGTTTAGGGTAAAAGCTGAGCTAGCCCAGCTATACCGTCTAGTCGATCATGTGTCTAGAGAGAGACCTTTCAGGGGCTCCGAATCATGGTGATACCAATGCTCTTGGGACTTGGCAGAGGGCATTACGCTTCAGCTTTTGTCTGTGGGGCATCAGACCCCGCAAACCCTTTTAAAAACCCTAGAACCTTGAAACTCCCAAGGCCCATAAACCTTAACCCCCCCCCCCCCCCCCAAACCTTTGAAGCTCCACACCTCTATGCCCGAAGCCCTAAACCACAATACCCTGAACCCTAAACCCTAAACCCTCAAGCCGAAGCCAAAACACGTCCAAGCCAACGCGCACAGGGCGATTGGACCCTGAGATGGTGAGACAAGTCTGAGTTGTGGAGCATAGGCTTCAGCTTCAGGGGTCCAGGGGTTTAGGGTTTAGGGTTTAGGCTTTAGGCTTTCTGGTAAGGTATAGTTATATAGTTTTATGACAGAATTACTGTTTGACCATTTTTTCCGCTACACGTTACATGTCACATGCTATGTTGCTTTGTTGTACATCTTAAGACGGTATATGGTCAGCTCTCTACATCATAGTCCCCTTCTGGGTACCCTAAACAAAACGGGCCGCCCTCAAAGGGACACAAGTTTAGAGCAATCACCATATATGTATATGTATATATATATATAATGACAATAATATTCTTATTATTCTTATTCTTATTCTTGTTCTTATTCTTATTCTTATTCTTATCATTGTTATTCTTTTCTATTACAATACTAATCATCATACTTGTTATTATAATAATACTTATGCTTATATATGTATATACATATTGTCGAAAGTCCCGGGACAGTCGTGGCTTGCAGCTTTAGCGAGGGAGTGAGTCGGCCCGCGACAGTTCGAAGGGTCTGCGGACCCAAACTCCTCACGAGGAACTTTCGGTTTAGGGATTAGGGTTTAGGGTTTCGGGGTTTAGGGCTTAGGGGTTAGGGGTTTAGGGATTTAGGATTCAGGGTTCGGGGTTTAGAGGGTTTAGCGTG